AGCTGGGACCACAGGTGCCCACCACAACGCCCGGCCATTTTTTTTTTTGGTTGCAGCCATCATTGTTGTTTGGCGGGCCCGGGCTGGGGATTCGAACCCGCCACCCTAGGTGATGCGGTTGGCGCCTTAGCCGCTTGAGCCACAGGCGCCAAGCCACATCAACCTTTATATTGCCTGGCACACTTGAACCTATAGTTAATCTTCCACGGCACATTTAAATTATGTTGCTTGGGAAAAAAAGAGTAAAAAAAGATACATTACTGTACTTCAGATCTTTCAAAAATAATTAATGATCTTTAAAAGTTTTCTCGGCACACCTAAGATCCTCTCACAACACAGCAGGGTGCCGAGGCATATGGGTTGAAAATCGCTGCTCCAGTGAACCCTGATTGGGAAGGGACATGTTTGGCTTCAGGAATTTGTCACTGATGTGAGGCTTTTTTCTTTAAAAATGTTTCTGATGCCAAAAGCGATACATCAAGAACATTAAATCTGATTATAGAGTAAGCCCCCTCATTTTTGCTAGGATTGCACGCTCCGGCTTCTCTTTCCTGCTACTGTTCACATCTGTGGAGGGGGACAGTGACCATGTGTGCACCTCTTTATGTGATTGTTGTCTTTCTTGGTCCTTGAATTCCTCAAGCAATACATCGAGGAGGGTGAACAGTGCTGTTTGGGGGTAGCCAGAGAGCTTTGGGGCTCGAATTTTTGGTCTCTGAACCTCCTTGAGTGCCTGTGGTGGGGCCTCCAGATCACCCAGTTGTCAACAGTGAGACCTTTGTTTTCTCACCCAGATAGCCACCATCCTGGACTGTCACGCGGCCACCCTGCAGCGGAAGGCTGACCGAGAGGTCTTCTTCATGAACACGCAGAGCATCGTACAGTTGGTGCAGAGGTGACTCCAGGGCCCTCTGTGGGGCGAGGTCATCACACTGACTTGTCACACGTATTGTACCAGGGAGGTGCTCTGGGAAGGACAGGCTCAGAGTGAGAGAAAGTGCATTACAGTCCTGGCAGTGCCATTCCTAACAGCAGGAACCTGAACAAGGCACTTCCATGAATATCAGTTTGCCAGGTGATAAAATGCGAATAAAAACACTTTACAAGTTAAGTCATTTGGAATTATAAATAGATTGGTTTTTATAAAGGGCTGACATATAGCTGATACTTGGTGGTAGCTTGGATTCTGAGACAATGGGCTGACATGGTTTCGTGTGTGTGATGAAAGACCACACAAATTGTTATTGTGGTTTTGAGGACCCTTGCAAAGGAAAAGTGATGAATATTTTTGAGAAGTTATTGGACAAGGGTGTTCTATCACAGAACTGTTCTGATGATAAAAAAAAAAAAAAAAAGAATTTTTACCCTTTGCTGTGAAAAATCCACCTAGCAAGAAAGCTTTGCTTTTAAAGACAGAGTAAGTATTCCCAGGTTTGAACCAATCAGTTCAGCACATTTTCCATGTGCCAGAAACTATGGCAGGTATAAAGAATGTGAGACTGTGAAAGACTGCTGTGCTTGTCGAAGAGTCTCCAGCTAGCAGGGGACTCAGGTTGACACCACAGGCTTAAAGCTGAGAAGGGAGAGTTCAGTGTGGATTTCCCACCGAGTGAAAGTTCTGCAGTCAGGGTTGCAAGGGGAGGCTTTCCTCTAAAACACGTCAACTCCTAACCTTAAACTCATCTGTTAAGCTTCAGTGGAACACCTAGGAGAAATGAACAAATAATACATGAATCAAATTTCCTAGCAGATTTTTTTGTGCTGAACGTAAACGTCCAAACTCTGTCCTGTGTCGGGAGGGGGGGTGTGTGTCTTAAAATCACACTTGCATCCCTGACCGTTTTAGGTTCTTGTGGCCTTTTGTTCTCATTTGGAGATGCTGGGGTTAGGCTGGTTTCTACTTCCCTAAAACACAGGGTTGCATTTCCTAAGAAACTCCATTCTCTGCGTTCAGAAATATTTCAGAAGAGGAAACGTTTAGGGGAACATCCAGGTTAAAATTTTGTTTCAGAAGAGAAGCGAAATTTATACGGGGATCTGTGGGTAAATGTCTTTCCACTTTGTATTTTTAAAACCCTCTTTCTCCATTGGGTGGCTAATTGGAATTTTTGCTTTTCATGGTTAAAGCCTGCTACAGTCGCCTGCCCCGATTCAGTATTTCAACTGTTCAATTTGTTCCCTTCACTCTGGGGCCTGTCCTCCCAAAGCTCGGGGTTCTACTCCAGCTGGCTGTGGGACCTTGGGCAAGTCACTACTCTCTTTGGCCTGCAGAATGAGAGCAAAAATCCCTGTAGGACTGAGGATTAGTGTGCATAATCTCTAGATACTTTAAAAAATTATTATTGGGCGGCGCCTGTGGCTCAAGGAGTCGGGTGCCGGCTCCATATACTGGAGGTGGCGGGTTCAAACCCGGCCCTGACCAAAAACTACAACAACAACAAAATTATTACTATTATTTAAAAATATATTTCGATTAATTTTTTGAAGTAATTGTTTGTAGTGATAGGGTCTCACTATGTTGTTGTCTGAACTTAACTCCTGGGCACAAATGAGCCTCCTATCTCAGCCTCCCCAGATACTTTATTACTGTTTTTTCTTCTTTGCATTCATAAAAGTGCTGAAGGGCGGCACCTGTGGCTCAAGGAGTAGGGTGCTGGCCCCATATGCCGAGAGCGGTGGGTTCAAGCCTGGGCCCGGCTAAAACTGCAAAAAAAAAAAAAAAAAAAAAAAAACTGAAGATACTCAAGTGCTGGAGGAGGGGGCTTTGAGCATTAAGCGCAGCCGTTTCTTCCTCCCTAGATACCGCAGTGGGACCCGCGGCTACATGAAAACGGTGGTGTTGGATCTCCTTAGAAGATACTTGCATGTCGAGCACCATTTCCAACAAGGCAAGAGATGCTACCATTGCCCTCGGAGGCACTGGTGACAAGCCACTGGGCGGGGGAGTGGGGAGAAGCCTGAGCCTTACTCCTGCGTGGTCGTTTGTCTCCTCTGCAGCCCACTACGACAAGTGTGTGATCAACCTCAGGGAGAAGTTCAAGCCAGACATGTCCCAGGTGCTGGACTGCATCTTCTCCCACGCACAGGTGGCCAAGAAGAACCAGCTGGTGATCATGTTGATCGTAAGCAGGAGGGTTCCCTCTGCCCCAGCTGGGGTGGGTCAGGACTCCACAGACCTTTTTCTAAAAAGAGTCAGAAGGTAAATATTTTAGACTTTTCAGGTTGGTGTGGTCTCTGGCCTGAGTAGTCGACACTGCCACTGTAGTTTAATTGAATTGGCCTGGCTCTACTCCAGTTAAACTTTGTTTGCAGAATCAGGCCGTGGGTGGGATTTGCTGGCTCCTGGGGAGACCATGCTTAACACTTACACAGCACCTATTTTGTGCCAGGCACGCTTGAAGGAATTTACAAATAAGTATCAGGTCACAGCAACCCTAGAAGGTGGGTACTGCCCTCACCTCCCATTAGCCGAGCACAGAGAGGTGAGACCACTTGCTCAAGAGCACCCAGCTTGCAAGTGCAGAGCTGGGATTTGAACCCACAGTTGGCCTCAGTTATGAGCTATTAAGGGATCCTGGATTCTGAGTCTTGTGGTACGTCTTTCATTTCGACTTTTTGAAGAAGTATGGTGTTTTTGTTCTTATTTCCCCTTCTACTAGATGATAATTAGCAGTCTTTTATAACTAAAGGTTTTTCTCTGTAATACATCCCTGATGACTGACTTGGAACATGTAGAATCAGGAGAGTAGGACAGACCTGGCCTTGGCTCATACCAAAAAGGGATTGGGGAATTTTTTTCTAAAAAGGGCCCCAGCTTGTTAAGTATTTTAGGCTTATGGCTCTCCAGCCCCTGTTGCAACTGCTCTGCCTCTATAAGCTCTGCTCTTAATAGCCTGAAAACAGCTATAGACAATATGTAAATGAATGAGCATGGCTGTGTGTTAATAAAACTTTATTTACAAAAACCAGTCAGCTGAATTTGGACCATGGGCTTATAGGATAGTTGATACTTTATTAAGATGTATTCATAAATACTGATATTTTTATAAAGAATTACTTAAAAATCTCATGCAGCAGCTTTTAATTCTGGCTGCATATGAGAATTATGTAGAAGATGGGGCTGGGAGGACTCATAAAATATGCAGATATCCAGGAAATTAAATCAGAGTTTCTGGAGGTGGGGTCCAGGTATTAGTGCTTTCCCAGTGGGAAACTTTGGGAAACTTAAATGTAAACTGTATGTTAGATTATATTATTGGTTTAATGTTCAATATTTTTGGTGTTTAATGGTAGGAGAGGTAGGAGAATATCTTTTTTCTTAAGGAGGTACATACTAAAATGGTATAAAGGGTCATGGTATCTGCAACTGATTTTCAAAAAAGAAAGCGTATGTGTGTGTGTGTGTGTATGCGTGCATGCTCACGTGTGCTTATTAGAGAAAAGTCAAATGTGGTCATGTGAGGAAAGTTTAACAATGAGTGAAGCTAGATTCTAGATGAGTAATAGAGGAGTTTTAACATATTGACCTGCTATTCTTCTGCAGTTTTGAAATTTTTCAAAATTAATTTTGAGGGGAGGGCTCCCCAAGTGATTGTAGAGTATAATCCGGACTGGGAACTTATACCCAAGGAGATAGCTACTCTTTAGGGGAATTCTATTGCTAAAATAATATAACCCTTTACAAAATACTTGCTTTGGATGGAGTTTTTTGGAGTTTGAGTGTTGGCCAAGCAAGATGCACCTGTCATCTGGTACAGTCAGCTCGCCATCCAGAGGCCTGGGGTCGGGTCTGTAGATTATTCTGCTGTTTATATCTTGTGTACATATTGACTCTCCTCTGGACATGAAGTCACTAAAAATCGTGTCCACCAGAGGACAGCCTGGGGAAGATGGGTGGCCCCCAGCTCAGGAAATTAGGTTATTTGCTTGAGGCTTCTTGCTGGAGGAGGCTAAAAATGTTGAATCAGTTATAGTTTGGGGGTTTCATTATTTTATATTAGTTATGTGAGTTTTATTATTCTTCTGGGGTTTTTTTGGTTCCATTTGTTCGAAAAATTGCAAGTTCTTTGCACCTAATGGTAATTGGGACCCAGGAGGTTCTCATCAAAGACTTTCAAATTGAATGATTACTTTGAAATGGACTTTTTAGTCTTTTAAGGGGACCTAGTTTATGAACATCAGTTCAGTGGTTGTAGGACTCTGTTGGTGACAAAACATGATACTGTCAACTAAAACATGAGATGAAACAGTTTCACACAAGTCAACAAGAAAAAAATGTTACATATAAAAGGTAGTACACAAATTTTATTTTATTTTTACTTTATTTATTTATTTATTTATTTTTTGAGACAGAGTCACCTGGGTAGAGTGCTGTGGTGTCATAGCTCACAGCAACCCCAAGCTCTTGGGCTCAAGCAATCCTCTTGCCTCACGTTTTCTATTTTTAGTAGAGATGGGGTCTCACTTTTTGCTCAGGCTGGTCTCGAACTCGTGAGCTCAACAATCCACATACCTCAGCCTCCCAGAGTGCTAGGATTACAGGCATGAGCCACCCCATCCAGCCTAGGAGACAGATTTTTAAAATGTTCACACCTTTGAGTTTGAGTTTTTCATCTCTTAGAAAACCACCAGCTGCTGGTTGGACAGCACCTGTGCCATCTTCTCTGTGGAGCCACAAGCGTGGTGAACAATTGGTGGCGAGTGATGTTGCTGCCACTTGATAACACAAAGCAAATCAGAATGTGGGAGGGAGAGAAGATGGAGAATAATTTTCTATGAAATTTCTTTACCCCTGACATGCCTGTATGTTTGTGTATCAGATATTAATACATTTATAAAACTTCTGATTATAAAAACAGTATAGGCTCTTTATAATTAGGAAAAATGCAGAAATACATGTAGAAAAAAATGACCCATGGCCCCACCATCTGGTGACTTCTTAGAGAACAGTCTTGGCTGATGCAGGGGTAAGGAAGACGCTGCTCAGAACCTCTGATTTCCAGCATTCGCTGATCTGTCTTCAGCGAGTGTTTAGGGAGCAACTGCTTGGAGCCTTTTCTAAACCTCTCGTGCATATAGGGTATAAAAGAGGAGATGGAAAGACCAGTTGCACACAGCCCTGGTTTCCGACAGAAAGGAGGGATGGACACAAAGAACATCGTCCCTCCCTCTTCTGCAAGTTTCACGTCTAGGCCCCTCTCCTCTGAATCTGTAAGCTCCCTAAGTTGGGCAATAATGTGTGGGTTAAAGAGTGAGAGGCTTCTGGGGGGCAGAATAGGGCTCTGTTGGAATCTGGCTCCTCCTCCTGGCACTTAGTGGCCTTGGAGAAAGGCATAGTGTTCCTATCTGTAAAATGAGGATCATGATACTAACTTGCCATGTGGGTAGGAGAATTTGGGGAGCTATATGTAAAGGATCTGGCCACTTACTAGCTCCCTGGCGCATAGTAGGTTCCCTGTAATCCCTGGATACTAATAGTAATGTGGACAAGGGCTTAGTTGTATTTTTTTTTCTTAAAAGGTGTTTAGGGCATGTTTTGGTGTGGATGAATGAGTGAATAAATCAATGAGGTGGGGCCCAGCTAGAAAGTGATGAGGGAGTGTGTTCAGAGAGCTGGGCAACTGTCTAGCTTACTGGGCAGCTGCACCCCTGGCTGAGGTGGGTGCTGGCATGTTTCTCTTGGCTGGAGAAAAGCCAAGTGCATTCTGTTTTGTCCCCCAAAGGATGAGCTCTGTGGCCCAGACCCTTCCCTGTCGGATGAGCTGACCTCCATCCTCAATGAGCTCACTCAGCTGAGCAAAAGCGAGCATTGCAAGGTGGCCCTCCGAGCCAGACAGGTAGGTCCCCAGGGGCACCATCCCACATCTGACCCTCAGCCCCTCCCCTGGGAGGTTGACTCACCTGGGCTCTCCATCCCTCCCTCTCTAGGTCCTGATCGCCTCCCATCTCCCCTCCTATGAGCTGCGTCACAACCAGGTGGAGTCCATCTTCCTGTCTGCCATTGACATGTACGGCCACCAGTTCTGCCCAGAGAACCTCAAGGTGAGGTCGTGTCTCCCTCCTTCCACCTTCTGCAGAGCATGCGTAGTGGCGAGGTGGGGGCCTCAGGGAAAATGGGTCCCTTTGCCCTTGAGGAGCTTGCACTCTGGTGCAGGGTACAGCCATAGACACAGTTATCAGCCCAGTGCTGCCAGAGAGATGTGGGCGTGGAGCCCCACGCTGCAGGGTGGACGGTGTGACAGGCAGCAAGGGCTCACCTGGGAGGGGGGACTGAAAACATTCAGCAGTGACAGAGCCTGTTTAGAAGACTTCCCATGGCTGAATCATGACATCATCTTCCCGAGGACCCTCCCCCAGGCCTGGACTCTGGCTCATTTACAAGCTTCTAGGTGCAGGAGTCCTGCCCTCGGTCAGCTACCCCAGCATTCTTCAGTTCCATCTTCTGTGATTAGACGTGGGAGGAGTCCATACACTGCTGGCCGCTGGCTGCTCTCAGTGGTAGCAACAAGATGGGCTTCTCCCCGGTCCACTGCTTCCACCCACCCTGCCAGTGGTTAAAATTTGTTCACGTTCACTTTCCTTGTTTCCCTTTTTAATCTCCCATAGAAATTAATACTTTCGGAAACGACCATCTTTGATGTCCTGCCTTCATTCTTCTATCACACTAACAAAGTCGTGTGCATGGCGTCCTTGGAGGTAAGCAGGACAGACGCTCAGAATGACCGCTCTGAGCATGACAGAGCTAGCATCTGCTGCCACCCCCCACACACGCCTTTCAGTCGTGATCTGACCATTCTCTCTACTAGCCTATCCCCGTCTTACTGAGGGAGGAATTGAAGCTCAGAGAGGCAAAGTGACTTGCCCAAGATCACACAGAACCAGGCAGAACCAGGTTTAATATTCAGTCTGTCTTATCCAGAATCAGTGTTGGTAACCACTGCTGTCTCCCGAGTCATTGTTAATTAGGGTTAACAGAGCAGATCACAGTTAATTACTAACCCCCAAGAACCAAGTTCAAAGTACCTCCTCCAAACTGTAGTCCTAGCATGTTGGGAGGCCAAGGCAAGATGATTGCTTGAGGCCAGAAATTTGAGACCAGTCTGAGCCCATCTCTACCAAAAAAAAAAAGCACTCGTATATGTTCAATATCTTTGAAGATTTTTCTGCTTGGAACAACGAGAGCCAGAAGGAGCTGAAGTGACAACTTAAGGTGATTGCCGTTGTGTGCCAGACTGAGAAGGGCATGGCCAGCTGCAAATCCCAGATTAGAGCTAGTCTTGCTCCGGCCCCCAGCTCCTTGAGTTCAGGGGCCAGGAGGTGTTTTGTTAGTTTCAGGAAATTAGAGTTTTTAATATATTTTTAAGAAAATATGAGATGGGGAAGCACCTGTGGCTCAGTGGGCAGGGTGCCAGCCCTATATACTGAGGGCAGTGGGTTTGAATCCAGCCCCAGCCAGCTAAAACAGCAGTGGCAGCTGCAACAAAAAATAGCCCGGCGTTGTGGTGGGCCTCTGTAGTCCCAGCTACTTGGGAGGCTGAGGCAAGAGAATCACTTAAGCCCAAGAGTTGGAGGTTGCTGTGAGCTGTGATGCCACAGCACTCTACTGAGAGCGACAGAGTAAGGCTGTCTCAAAAAAAAAAAAAAGAAAATATGAAATGATATCTTGTGTTTTTAACACGACTCTCTCCTGCTGCTGGCAGCATTTCTTCTTTTCTTCCCCTTCTGAGCCCTGAGCCTCCTCTTCCTCTTCCTTACCTTTTAGACCCTGTGGGTTACGCCCTGGAAGGTTGGCTGGGTCTTCATGGAGGCCATTTGGACCTGTGGAGCGTATCACGGGGTCTCCTGGGCCTCCGGTTTGACCTGTTCATTAGGTTTCACCCCCGGCAGAATCTTTCTCAGGCCCCGCTCTTTGTTTCTCACTGTGAGAACCAATACATTTCTTCTGTAGTTTCCTTTTAAAGTGTTAAATCGTATTTAGGTCTGTTAAGGATTTTTCTAGGATGCTTTTATACACCGATCACTTTGTTTGGCAAGTTTATTGAGTACGATTTAACATTTTTCTTCCTGACCCCAAATGAGCTTTCAAGCATAAGATTTTGGCTCAGCCTTGTGGCATGGTAGGGTTTTGTCCCTACCTACCCTAAACATGTCGGGCATCTCCAAGACCACCTCCAGGATAGGTGATGGGTTAGAAGGACTCACAGGACTCACAGCGATGATTTGTGACAGTGAAAGGATGACAGGCTCGGTCAGCAAAGGGAAAAGGCACATGAGGAGAAGTCCGCTCTTACCTACGGCTTAGAGGTCCTTCAGAGATGACTTCCAGTATCCTTGCAGCCTGTGTTTTCTCAGGTTTCGGGGGTGCTCTGTGGGGCCCTCTGGGAGAACACCCATCGTGTCACACTTCTGCTTCAACAGGTTTATGTGCGGAGGGGCTACATCGCCTATGAGTTAAACAGCCTGCAGCACCGGCAGCTCCCGGACGGCACGTGCGTGGTAGAATTCCAGTTCATGCTGCCCTCTTCCCACCCAAACCGGTACGGAGTGGCATGTGCCTTGGGACAGCCCATTCTCCTTTTCTCCCTGACCCCTGTGTCTCTGGAAGGACCCAGCAGGGGTATGTCTGGGCATGCTGGGGCCTCCCCACCGCACCATTCCTTCCTTCGTGAAATGGAGATGATTCAGTCTACCCTCTACATCCGCTCTGTCCAGTATAATAGCTACTGCCTACAGGTGCCTATTTAAGTAAAATGAAATTAAAATTCAGGTCCTTGATCGCACCAGCTGCACTGAAGATGTTCAGTAGCTGTGAGTGGCCCTTGGCTGCTCTGGTGCACCTTGCAGTTCTAGAACATGCTATCACCACAGGAAGTTCTGAGGACAGTGATGTCCTAGATCAGCAATGGAGATAAGGACAGTGCCTGCATGAATAAAGTTGTTTGAATAGTAGCTACCCCATGACAATGATGACATCCTTTTGTTGCTGTCTGGGCCGCTGGCCGGCCTCCACTGCGTGCTCCCACACTCGTTTCATTCCGCTCTCACCATCTGTCAGTCGGAAGTGTGTTTCCAACCCCATCTTACAGATGAGGGCCCTGGGGCCTTCGCCTGACACAGGCTGAGCATCACACCTACAAAGTAGGAGTTTGAGCCCAGGTCATGCTCTGACCTCCAAGTTCCTCCTGCAGCTTTCGAGGGTCCCCTCGAGTCAGGGACCAGTCATGCGTGCTGGCTTGTCCATGTCCGCTGTACTCTGCTCTCCAAAAGCCATGGCTCGGTGGAGCCCCTCCATGTTCTTACTTGGGGACATCTGGTATGTCTGAGTCTCCTTCAGCTCCTGATCTCTTTTTTAATCTGTCTTATTTCAGGACCCAAAGTCCCATTCGGGCAGGCTGAGTGCCATACCATCTACTGAAGTGGCTCTGCCTCCCTGGAGTTTGACTCACTCACTTTCACGCTTTCCCTCCCTCTGATTTTGGTTCTTGTGGGGTTCCCAAGGCCTTGCTTGTGACTTTAACAGTGTCGTCATGGTTGGGGGGTTCAGTTGGTCAGATCTACATGGACAACAGGATTTGTGCTTTCTTTCTTTTTTCTATTTTCTTTGTGTGTGGGTGGGTGGGGCTTAGTATGACCAGCCAAGTGCTTTCTTGAAGCAGGGATTTTTCTAGTCTTTTGGGACTTTTAAGAATATGTTTCTTCTTCAGTGTTGTAAAAAGGAAGGTTCTGCTCTGTTTGGGATAAAGGAAAAAACCCAGCTTCCCTATGAGGCACCTTCTTTCTGTACTTATCATTTATTTTTACCCTTCTTGTTAAAAAAAAAAAAAAGATCATGACATTTTGCCCTATTGAGAGAAAGGGAGACAGACAGTTGGCTGCTTGGGGTCGAGTTGGACAGTGTGGTGTGAGACACTTGGCAGTTGTTTGCCCCTAAGGAGGAGTTCTCTCTTTTGTTTATATTGGCTTGAAGTTCAGCCCAGTTAGGGAAGAGGTGGCTCTCCTAAAGGCTGTGGTCATGCCTTGCTTCTTAGAAAGGAGCTACATGTATATCCAGGTTATTGATTGTGGCATTCAGTATGGGCACACGGTCCTAATTTGACCCAAAAGATGTCAAGAACCCTCAAAATCCCAGACTCACAGAAGAAAGCAGGTGCCGAGCGTGAACACAAGACAACCTATTGTCTGTACAAACAGTTTAGTGCAGCAAGCTGTCCTCACCATTTAGGGAATGGTGGAAACCCTCCCCAAGTCCAGCGCACTGGACACCCCACACGCTGGTGTCCTTTCCCAGAGCAGCCCCAGGCCTGCCATGCGCACCTCCCTGCACGCCCTCTGATAACCCTGCGAGCCCGATTCTGACAACCTGTGACCAGTTTGGTTTGCTCCTGGCAGCAGTAGCTTCCTAGACTCTTCCTAGACTCATCCTAAGAGCAAGTTTGATGGAGGGGGAGGAATTAGCTGCCCAGGTCTCTGCTCAGGAGAGACTGATGCTGGGACTGTTTATTCTCCATGTGGCCAGATTCACCATTTGAAATTTGCCTCGGGACTGTGTTGAGACTGGACTTGCTTGCACACGTGCATCATTCATTCGTTCATTCATTTATTCACTTGTTGAGCCCTTCCTGTGTATCAGGTCCTGAGGGATCAGATGAGACCCCTCAGCCTCCAGCCCCAGCCTTTGTCCCCGTCCATGACAGCATTTTAAACCTCGCTTTGGGAGGGCTCTTTGCTCGTTAAAGCTTCAGGGGCAGAGGCAGCTCACAGGGTTGGGTCACAAGCAGCCGCCTCATCCCCCACTTGTGGTCACCCCTGCAGGATGGCCATGCCCATCAGCATCACCAACCCTGACCTGCTGAGGCACAGCACGGAGCTCTTCATGGACAGCGGTTTCTCCCCACTCTGCCAGCGCATGGGGGCCATGGTGGCCTTCGAGAGATTCGAGGACTTCACCAGGTACCCAGCATGGCCTGGCCTCCCAGATGCCCCCATTCACTGGACACACAGGTTAGGGGAGACCCAGAAACACGGCACAGCAAGTTTGTAACCAACAGAGTAGCGACAGCCAAGGGTGTGAGCCCCTGCAGTGAGTCCTGGCTCTGCCTTTCCCAACTGTGGGACCAAGCAAATGATTTAACCTCCCTGTATCTCAGTTTTCTCATCTACAAAATGGGAATAAAAGAAGGACCTACTTCATAGGGGCACCATGAAAATCAAAAGTAATGGCGTGTGAAGTCATATATATATATGTATTTTTTTTAAGACAATCTTATTTTGTTGCCCTGGGTAGAGTACCGTGGTGTCATAGCTCTCAGCAACCTCAAATTCTTAGGCTCAAGTGATCATCTTGCCTCAGCCTCCCGAGTAGCTGAGACTACAGGTGCCTGTCATAGCACCCAGCTAGTTTTGCTGTTGACAGGGTCTCACTCTTGCTCAGGTTGGTCTCAAACTCCTGAGCTCAAGCAGTCCTCCCACCTAGGCCTCTCAGAGTGCTAGGATTATAGGCATGAGCCACTGCAGCTGGCCAGTGAAGTCGTATGTTTAAAGTATAATTAATGTGCAGATAACACGCTCAGCAAGTGTTGGCTATCAGGACTGTTACTGTCATGCTCTTTTCTCAACTTTTTATTGTAGTCAAGCATTATGCTTAGATTATCTCGTTGAATTTTCCCAAGAGCCTTATGAAGTGATGACTCATTATCCTTGTTTGATTCAGAGGTGAGGTGAGGTTTCTAGAATCAACCAGCCAGTGGAAAGGGGAGCCAAGAGCTGACCAAGCCCAGCTGATGCCCCAAAGCGCTGGCATTATTTCTGAACATGGATCACACAGGCCCATTCTTCCCTTTTGGGAAAGACCCCACCAGGGTCTTTGACCTAGACAAAGAGCCACCTCATCTGAGCTCTGCCCATAGAAAGAAGTGGGGCCTGGGGCGCCCCTCTGCCTGGCTCAAAGGGGGCAGCAGCCCTTTAGCCCTCCCTCTCTGCCTGTGCCCCAGGAACTTTGATGAGGTCATCTCCTGCTTTGCCAATGTGCCCAAAGATACCCCCCTCTTCAGTAAGGCCCGAACCTCCCTGTACTCCGACGATGACTGCAAGGTGAGTATCCAAGCCCAGGGAGCAACCTGGGGAAAGGGTGGGCTGCAGCCCTGCCCCTCTGCCTGCCCACACGCCCTCTTGTGTTCCCTCTCAGAGCCTCAGGGAAGAGCCCATCCACATTCTGAATGTGGCCATCCAGTGTGCAGACCGCCTGGAGGACGAGGCGCTGGTGCAGACCTTACGGACTTTCGTGCAGTCCAAGGTACCCTGGGTGTGCCTCTGATCCTGAGAGGCAGTCCATGCACCTGAGCGGCACAGGGGAGGCATTCCTAGCCTAGCTCTGCTCTTCCTTGCAATGGGTGACCTTGGGCACAGGTGGCTGAACAGGTGGGGATGGCATTTCTCTCCCCTGGAGTGTTGCAATGGTTAAATAACAAAACATACACCCCTTAGCCTGTCATGAGCACAGAGGACATACTCAATAAATAGTTTGGGGTTTTAAGGGAATTTGTTAATGGAATATCCCTAAAACTTACGATTTAAAGAATGGCCAATTGCATTGACTGGGCAAATAACTGCAGGTTGCTTTGTCAGCTTGTGTGGCCATCGCCAGGGTGTATTCTCACCCTGCTGGTAGGGACAGCTGTTACCTACATCCAAGGGCTTCAGCTCCAAACAGATGTGGAGCTGCATTGCAGAGAATGTTGATTGTGGCAACACACAGGTGATGAAGTCACACCTGCCTAGTCAGCGTGGATGCTGACTTCATCACCTATGTGACCCAGAGTGGGTAACTTTACCTTTCTTTTTCTTTCTTTTTTTTTTTGTTTTGAGACTGAGTTTCACTTTGTTGCCCTCAGTAGAGTGCTATGGCGTCACAGCTCACAGCAACCTCCAGCTCTTGGGCTTAGGCAATTCTCTTGCCTCAGCTTCCCAAGTAGCTGGGACTACAGGCACCTGCCACAACGCCTGGCTATTTTTTGTTGCAGTTTGGCCGGGGCCAGGTTTGAACCTGCCACCCTTGGTATATGGGGCTGGCTCCCTACTCACTGAGCCACAGGCGCTGCCCAACTTTACCTTTCTGATCCTCATTTCTGCCATCTGTGAAATGGGATCTGAGATTCTTAGTTTATAAAATAATCAAATATGCCTAGCATGCTTTTTGGCTATTATTTCTTTACCCTCCTGACTTGGTCTCATAAGAACACTTGGGAATTTTCAGTTGCTGCTTTTTAGTCTGTTAATCTCTATATGTCTTTTATTCTCCATATTATCTTGGTTGGAGGGACACTTCCTCCGTCTGCCCTGAGGTCCCTCAGAGGAAGTCGCCCGGTGATCCATGGATAGGAGATGCTGGGTGCTGGGTGAATGAGGCTAAATTATGGATAACCCCATCAAAGCTCAGGGATGTTATTTTTACTTACATAAAGGGTATCCCAAAAGTTACCATATATATAAGGAAAATGGTGTGATGTGCAGTGGCTCACACCTATAATCCTAGCACTCTGGAAGGCTGAGGCAGGTAGAGAGCTTGAGCTCAGAAGTTTGAGACCAGCCTGAGCAAGAGTGAGACCTTGTTTCTACTAAAAATAGGAAAACTAGCCAGGTGTCATGGTGGGTGCCTGTAGTCCCAGCTACTCAGGAGACTAAAGCAGAAGGATTTCTTAAGTCTAAGAATTTAAGGATGTGGTGAGCTGTGATGCCATGGTATTATACCCAGAGTGACAGAATGAGACTGTCTGAAAAAAAAAAGATAAAATGGGATATTGCAGCTAAATGTACTTTATTTATATAATTTTTATTATAAAATTTTACAAAATATTTCTCTGTGTTGGTATATAAATATACAATAATATAAAACACGAGTTTGTTAAATTTTCCTATGTTTGGCAACCTTTGGGACACCCTATATTTAGCTTTTAGCTAATGACCCCCACAATGTATCAATGTTCGCTGTAGAAAATGTTTGTAAGGTGCAGAGAAATCCCAAAAGTAGGTTTAACAGGAAAACCTACAGCCCCGTCCTCTGAGGCAGCCGCTATGACCATGGTGGCGTGTTTCCAAGCAGCCTGCTTCTTCTTAACGTAGCTGATGTCGTTCCTGGATTTTCAGTTCAACATCCCAGTGCATAGATAGGGTGACCTCTCAGCTGGGTGGGCATCTGTCTATCTTCCTAACCAAGTCACGTGAAGCGCAAGGTACTTGGTGGTTCTCGCCTAGAGAGGGAAGTGGGGAGACGTGTCAGACTCACCTCGGGAACATGTGGGCAGTGAGGAGTTCTGTGGCGTGGACGGCTGTGTCAAGGAGTGCCACATAGCTATAAAAGGGAACAAAACAGGCCTCTGTAAATACTGACCAGGGAGGACATCCACGAGATAAAAGAGATTAAGTGTTTGTATCCCTGTGTAGGTGGGTCACTATGAAAATTTTGAGACAGACTGTGTTAGGGTCTGTTACTTCACTCCCAAGACAGTTGGCAGCGTCCTTTCTGCCTCCCCCGTGTGAGTTTCAGCTTGCTCAGCTTGTCCGTGTTGCCGGGAGGGCTCCTTTTATTTCCATCTGCACTGATTTTACATTTCCTGATTGTTATGGATTTCAAAACTTCTGTAATGATCCACGTATAAATAAATACTAATCCCCTCTCATCCCTGGGGATGTGTTCCAAGACCCCAGTGGATGCCCCGGACTGCGGGGAGTACTGACTCCTCTCTACACTGTTTTCTAGTCGGATAACTGAGATGGTAAATAAGTGACTATGGGTGTAGATAGGCTGAGTAGAGATTCGTGTCCAAGCAGAGCAGCACACAATTCTATCATGCTATTCACAAGGGCACACAGTTCAAAACCTGAGAATGGTTGATTTCTGGAATTTTCCATGTAGTAGTTTTGGACCTCAATTGACTGTAGGTAACTGAAGCCTTGCAAGGTGAACCCTCAGCTAATAGGTTACTGCAGACAGGAGACTAGGAGGGTTTATTGCGGTTGGGGGAAAGGAAAGACTTTTCATATTATATATATTCTATGTTATTTTAAATTTTTAAATATTAAGCATATATTATGTAGACATTCGTACATACGTGCACTCACAGATACAACTCACACACACACACACACACACACATCCTTAATTTGGAATCAGTAATCAGGCTAATTTTCCCACATTGGAACCCAGTTCATTTAGTAGTTTGTCCATTCTCTCTCAATCACACCCCACAAAAATGTTCTTTTGTGTACGTGTATTTATCTCTTTCTGAAACAGACTAGGGTTATTCATTTCCCCTAATGATTTTCCTTATCATGTTGACAAATTACATAATAGCTTTGTGTGTGTGTGTGTGTGTGTGTGAACCCCCAACTACCAGCTGTTCAGATTAGGAAACTGACCCCCCCAGGCCCCCAGAAGCCACCTTGTGCCTCCTTCTGTTCATTGCTTCCCTCCAGAAACAACTGCCTGGATTCTGACTTCTAACAGTATAGGTTAGCGTTGTCTGTTCTCTATTAATGGAATCAGTTTGCACTCTTTCATGCTGGGCTTTTTCATTCAACTTGTCTTTTTTTTTCTCCCTCCAGCTTTATTGAGTATAATTGACTAGTAAAAGTATCTGTGGTATACAACATAGTGTTTGGATTGTCATTGTTTAATAACAGCTTTATTGAGAAATAGTTCACATACACACAGTTAACCCATTTAAAGTGTGCAATTTAAGCCAGTGGCTCACATCTGTAATCCTAGAACTCTGGGAGGCTGAGGGGGTATGATCACTTGAGGTCAGGAGTTTGAGACCAGTCTAAGCAAGAGCAAGATCCCAACTCTACTAAAAATAGAAAATGTAGCCATGTGTCTTGGTGAGCACCTATAATCCCAGCTACTTGGGAAGCCAAGGCAGGAGGATTGCTGGAGCCCAGGAATCTGAAGTTGTGAGCTGGACAACTTGACTGAGCCCATGGCACTCTAGCCCAGGTGACAGTCTCAGAAAAGCATGCAATTTCATGCATTTTTAGTATATTCACAGAGTTACACAACCATGACTGGAATCAATTTTATTTTAATTTATTATTAATTAGTTTATTTATTCATGGTTACGGCATCCCCATAATCTAAAATGTGACAGCTTTTACATAGACTCCATTCTTTGAATCAGAGCCCTGTGTCAGATCTGGAGAATTTTGCCCCTTGTGCCTCCCTATGTGTTTCTGTCTCATTTTGGATAATTTTGGTACTTTTGGTGTACTCAGTAAATCTCACTGTCACCCTGGCTAGAGTGCAGTGGCATCATCATAGCTCACAACAAACCACCCAGCATCGTGTTTGTAGTGACATGGATGAACCTCAGGTCTTTTTATGGCCAAATAATATTCCATTGTGTCTTTGGTTTTTAATGCAGAAAAATATTCTTGTGGATTATGGACTCCGAAGGATCACATTCCTGATTGCCCAGGAGGTCAGTCCAGTTCTCAGTTCACCTGTCTCCGTCTTTTCCATTCTCCAGACCTCAATTCTATTCGTTTGATGTTTATTCTGTAGATTGGGGTGGAAGAGATCAAGAGCAGGCTTTCCAAATGATTCATTCTGGAAGCAGACTGGGTCCTCATTTATAATCACAAATAAGTGTACAAATCTCTCAATGAGTCTTGCTTGATTTAATTCTTTTTACGGATTTCTTTTCACAGAAAGAATTTCCCAAGTTTTTCACATTCAGAGCAAGAGATGAGGTATGGCTAAAGGCGATGACATTGTTCTCTCTCCCCGGCATCTTTGATATTGGTGAAGAATGTAGCGCCCAGTCCTTACGGCATTCCCATAGTCTAAACTGTGGCAGCTTTTTTGTAGACTCCATTCTTCCTCTGGATTGTGTTTCTAATCAGAGCCCTGTTTTCTGTGTAGAGCTCTGATCTGGAGAATTTTGCCCTTTTTGCCTCCCTACATATTTCTGTCTCATTTTGGATAATTTTAGTACTTGCTGGTGTACTCAGTAAGACTGTTTCACAAATCTCTTTTTCTTATGCTCTTCTGGAATAGTGGTTGGTAAAATATGACTTGCATACCAGCTACCTGTTTTACCTGTTTTTATGAACTAAGTTATATTGAACACAGCCACCCTGTTGGATTCCAGATTGCTTACTGTGGCTTTCACTCTGCAGTAGCAGACTTGAGTGGCTGTGACGGAGCCTGTGGGACCTTTACTGTCTGGCCTTTTAAGGAAGTTTGTGAATCCCTGTTCTAGAATAGTAGGTTTGTTCCCAGCATAGATTAAAGACCCAACCAAATTCAGCATTTTTTTTTTCTTTTTGAGACAGAGTCTCACTCAGTCACCCTTGGGTAGAGTGCCCTGGCATCATAGCTTACAGCAACCTCAAACTCTTGGGCTCAGGAAATCCTCTTGCCTCAGCCTCCCAAGAAGCTGGGGTTACAGCTGCCCCTCATGATGCCCAGCTAGTTTTTCCATTTTTAGTAGAGATGAGGTCTCGCTCTTGTTCAGACTGGTCTTGAATTCCTGAGCTCAAGCCTCCTGCCTCAGCCTCCTAGAGTGCTAGGATTGCAGGTGTGAGCCACTGTGCCAGCCAAGTTCAGCATTTTGTATTTTAATGTGTCCAAAGACTTGCTTTTCCAGCTAAGTCCCAGCTGAGACCTATACTTCTTTTAGATTTTTTTTTTTTTTTTAGTTTGGTCTTGAGCACTGTCAGTCACTTTCTTTTGGGAGACCAATTTCTACCAAGAAACTGGGGGTTAGGGACTTCTTGGCCACGACAGAGCAGTCTGGTTACGCTGGCATATGCTAGGGACTAGCTTGGCTCCCCTGGGAGCTGCGAGGCACACCCAGCACACCAGCCTTGCAATGCCCATGGCTCTCCCCAGGTCTTAGCAAAACTCCCAATCTCTTGAGCCCTGAGGATTGCTCACAATTCAGTGCTTAGAGTGAAGGCTGCCTTCCTGAGTGCTCAACTTATGAATATCCGGGGTCTGCAGAATAAGGAGCAGGCACACAACCGCAGTGCCAAACCTTGTGTACATGTGTGTCTGTCTGGCCGGCCTGCAGTTTGCAGAAGATCGCATTTACCGTCACTTGGAGCCGGCCCTGGCCTTCCAGCTGGAGCTCAGCCGGATGCGCAACTTCGACCTGACCGCCGTACCCTGCGCCAACCACAAGATGCACCTTTACCTGGGTGCGGCCAAGGTGAAGGAAGGGGCAGAAGTGACGGACCACCGGTTCTTCATCCGGGCCATCATCAGGCATTCCGACCTGATCACGAAGGTGCGACGCTACGCAGCCTTCCTTTCTCCCTCCTGGCCCGTCCCTTGAGCCCTGGCCTTCTCTTCCTCAGGTTCTTGCCCCGGGCCAGGCCCTGGGCTGCAGCTGGGGATGGGGTACGCACCGGGTACACACGGCCCTGCCCTGGGACGCTGCCCTCTCCCCCTTTGGCAGGAGGCCTCCTTCGAGTACCTGCAGAACGAGGGAGAGCGGCTGCTCCTGGAGGCCATGGACGAGCTGGAGGTGGCCTTCAACAACACCAGTGTGCGCACCGACTGCAACCACATCTTCCTCAACTTCGTGCCCACCGTCATCATGGACCCCTCCAAGGTCTTGCCTTCTGTGGGGACTGGGTGGCCTTGACCAGGCTCTGGGTTCAACCTCATGTGGCTCCTCAGGCCCTGTCACTTTGGGCCTCAGTTGCCGCAAGAGAATAAACCTTCTGCCTTTTAATTCCAGAGCCCTATTTTAGGCACCGCCCTGTTTTAGCCATGCCTTAGATGGCTTTTTCTTTTTTTTTTTCTTGAGACAGAGTCACCTTGCCCCAGGTTAGAGTACTGTGGCATCACAGCTCACGGCAACCTCAAACTAACTTCAGGGCTCAAGTGATCCTCCTGCCTCAGCCTCCTGAGTAACTGGGACTATAGGCACCTTCCACAACACCCAGATGGTTTTTCTATTTTTAGTAGAGATGGGATCTCACTCTTGCTCAGGCTGGTCTCGAACTCCTGAGCTCAAACAATCCACCCACCTCAGCCTCCCAGAATACTAGGATTACAGGCCTGAGCCACCATGCCCAGCCAGAGAGGCAAGCTTTTTATCCCCCATTGACAGATGAAGAAGCAGGCTGCCAAGTGACCAAGCCGGTGTCCCTCCATTATCCCATCTTTATGCCCTTCTCTGTTTGTTTGTTTTTTGCAATTTTTGGCTGAGGCTGGGTTTGAACCCTCCAACTCCAGCATATGGGGCCAGTGCCCTACTCCTTTGAGCCACAGGTGCCGCCCCTTTATGTCCTTAATCTATGCAGAGTAAGACTGTCTCCAAAAAAAAAGGCTCGCCTCTCTGAAGACTAAAGAGAGCAAAATGAGTTAATGAGCTTTAAATGCTTAGCATGATGCCTTTCATTGTCACTGGCTAATACTCCCGGTTAGACACTTGGTACGTCCCAGCATTTTGCATCCAGTAAGCCCCATCATCCTGCTGTTGTCAGCGTGTGGAATGGGTAGGCTCTGAGTCTGGAATCGCTGTGTTTTGGGCCAGATTGAGGAGTCTGTACGCTCCATGGTTATGCGATATGGCAGCCGCTTGTGGAAACTCCGAGTGCTACAGGCTGAGGTCAAGATCAACATCCGCCAGACCACCACGGGCAGTGCCGTCCCCATCCGCCTGTTCATCACCAACGAATCGGGCTACTACCTGGACATCAGCCTGTACAAAGAGCTGACCGACCCGAGATCTGGAAACGTAAGTTGAAGCAGAGGCAGGCCGCTCAGGACAGTAAGAGGGAGATTAAAAGGACATTCAGTGGCTGTCTTGGTTTCCCATGCAGGACTGAAATGGCTACTCTGGGTTTTATGATGAACGTGTGAGCTTCTGAATTCTGATTCTCCATTTTCCTAGAAAGGAGAACGAATCCTCCAAAGTTTGATCCATTCTAAGTTATATTTAGGATAAGATATAAGGTACTATGGTTGATAAGTTTACCTAGGGAAATAGATTTTCTCCCCAACTTGTTTTAGAACCAACTTTTATAGAGTGAATCAAACATACTTTTTTTTTTATTGTTGGGGATTCATTGAGTACAAAGAACCAGGTTATATTGATTGCTTGTGTCAGATAAAGACCCTTGCATAATAGTGATCTACCCCTAAAAGGTGTACCGACCCCCGTGATCCCCCACCCCTTCTCTCCTTCCCTTTCTCTGCTCTCCACACCCCCACCCCTAATTAACAATTAAGTCATTAATTTTTCTCATATCAGAATTGAATACATAGGATTTTTTTTTTTTTAGTACATAGGATTCTTGTTTCTCCATTCTTGTGATGCTTTGCCAAGAATAATGTGTTCCACTTAACATGCAGGCTAATACAAAAGATGTAAAGTCTCCATCTTTTTTAATGGCTGAATGCTATTCCATGGTATACATATACCACAGCTTGTTAATCCATTCCTGGGTTGGTGGGCATTTAGGCTGCTTCCACATTTTGGCAATTGTAAATTGAGCTGCGATAAACAGTCCAGTGCATGTGTCACCCAAATATACTTTTGACTGTCAGTTATATATATGTGTGTGTGTTTTATATATTTATGTAGTATGTGTGTATAAATATATATGTGTATATGTGTGTGTGTGTATATACATACGGTATATATACACATTTTATTTATTTTGGAATAAAGACTCAAGACTCTAAAGAAATTACACATTAGTATAGAGAAAAAAACAGTACAGAGAGTTCCCTTGTACCCTTCACCCAGCTCCACAATGGAAACATTTTACTTAGTGGTCTTACATCATCAAAACAGGAAACTGACCTTGGCATAGTACTATTAACTCTAGTACAGACTGTATTTGATTTGTATGTTCGGCACTATGATTGCTATATTTTTGGAGCTCTGTTTGCACAGCTCTCATTGTCCTTTCTTGTTCTGGTTGTCCAAAGTGATGGAGAAGAGACTTGCACCTATCCCGGGAGCTCCTGTCGTCATGCCACATAACATGCCTTGCTTCTCTGCACTTTTGTCACTGAGGCCTGGGTAGCGATAACTGGGGAGGAATGTGGCTCTCTGAGACCTGCTCCCTTACTCTCTGTTTTTCCTTTCCTTCTTTCTGGTCCAGATCATGTTTCATTCCTTTGGCAACAAACAAGGGCCCCAGCACGGGATGCTGATCAATACTCCCTATGTCACCAAGGATCTGCTTCAGGCCAAGCGATTCCAGGCCCAGTCCTTGGGGACCACCTACATCTATGACTTCCCAGAGATGTTCCGGCAGGCAAGTCTGTGTCTCAGCTGTGTCACCACCCCCCGGTTCTCCCAGCAGTCTCCATCAGAACCAAACCCCCAGCCTTAGATCCTCTTCTAAAGACTCAATCTAAAAAACAAGTGTTGGGCTGGGTGCAGTGGCTCACACTGGTAATCCCAGCACTTTGGGAGGCCAAGGCAGAGAGACTGCTTGAGATCAGGAGTTTGAGGCCTGAGCAACATAGGGAGACCCCCTCCTTATTAAAAAAAAGAAAGAAAGAAAGAAAGAAAGAAAATTAGGTAGGCATGGTAGCATGTACCTGTAGTCTCAGCTACTCAGGAGGCTGAGGCAGGAGGATCACTTGAGCCCAGGAGTTTGAAGTTGTTCCCGTGAGCTCTGGTGATGTACTTTGGCCTAGGCAACAAAGTCAAAATAAGTAAATAAATAAGTAAACCTAACTTATCCCAATGATAAAATAATATGATCTAGAAACTTCAGAAATAAAAGAAAATGATAGAAAAAAATAACTCCTAGTCCCAGGCCTAGCATTTTCATGTGTTTCCTTCCAGTCTTTTTAATGGTCATTTATTACCTGGTACTTGGCAGGCACTGTTGTGAGGCTACCTAGACAATGAGGAAGAGGATGGGGTCACTGCCTTTGAGGAAGTTTGGTCAACTTTTGAAAAGCAATGTTTGTTAAGTTTTTGTGATTATTAAAGTCAGTGTTAGGAAATAGAGAAAAGTAGGAATAAGGAAATAAAATTTCACCTGTATGTAATCTTCCCACCACTGATATAAGTAGCAAAATTTTAGTGTGTTTCCTTGAGGTATTTTTTTAGGCCTTTCCATTTCTATGTTGTAGATGAAAGACACTGACGTTGGTCTCGTAGGTGTCTCTGTACCTCCCCACTGTTGCTTTATGAATGAAATTCATGAGACGAAGTTCAGGGGCCTTCCACTGTAGGCAGGATGTGTCAGTTCCTCCCTACACCTGTGCTCCAGATGTGAGGACGCAGAATAGTAGGAAAAGCTGCTCTTTAGAGGCACATAGGCCCGAGCTCAAATGCTGTTCCTTGCTTCCTGTTGTCCCTAAGCAAGTTCCTTTACCTCTCTGGGCCTCAGTTTCCTCCTCTATAAGAAGAGGATACTAATAGTCCCTACCTTACAAGGTTGTTGGAGGAATATATGTAACATACTCAGTAAGAACTTACTAAATGGAAACCTTTGTGATTAATGTCATTGTCTATATCCTTTTGCCCCTGGCCTCAAAGACTGTGGGGGAAGAAGCATGACTAAATCAGAAGCAAATCAATCCTCTTCTTCTTTTTAGATAAATAGAATAATATGGACAACCTCTATACATTTGAAAACTTAGATGAAATCAAAAATTTCCAAGGAAAGTATATCTTATCAAAACTGACTCAAGAAGAAATAGAAAATCTGATAGGAATAGATCATAAGCATTAAGGAAACTGAATTAATAGTTAAAAAAAATTGGGCCTAGATGGTTTTATAATCCTTTTTATCAAATCTTCAAGGAACAGATAATTTCTTCTCCAGAGATACAAATTGTTTAGAGGAAAAAAAGGCAAATGCTTCTTAACTCATTTTATCAGGTTATTACCTTACTATTAATCCCACATAAGAACTTCAGGAAAAGGGACATTTGTTATTTCATTTATGAGCATAGACACAAAAATATTAAATATTAGCAAATAAAATCCAGTAATGAGTTTTTCTAAGAAGGTTTAGAACAAACAGGGTTTATCTTATGACAACTTTTATGATTTGATATTAGGAAGTCTATTCATAAAATTCACCATATTGATAGTGTAAGAAAAAACTTAAATTTCTCAATAGGTACAAAAAATTTGCCAAGCTAACATCTATTTATAATAAAAGCATTTAATAAACTAGGAATAGAAGGTAATTTGTTTATGTTAATAAAAGATATCCATCTAAAATTAATAGAACCTAAAATGGTGAAATGGTTAGATGTGTTCTCTTTAAAAAACTCGTGCCTGGCTCGGCGCCTATAGCTCAACCGGCTGGGGCGCCAGCCACGTACACCTAAGGTGGCGGGTTCGAATCCCCAGCCCGGACCCGCCAAACAACAATGACGGCTGCAACCAAAAAGAATGGCCGGGTGTTGTGGCGGGCGCCTGTGGTCCCAGCTACTTGGGAGGCGGGGGCAGGAGACTCGCTTGAGCCCAGGAGTTGGAGGTTGCTGTGAGCTGTGATGCCACGGCACTCTACCCAGGGGGACAGCTTGAGGCTCTGTCTCAAAAAAAAAAACTCGTGCCTGTTGTCCTAGCTGCTTGGGAGGCTGAGGCAAGAGGATCGCTTAAGCCCAAGAATTTGAGGTTGCTGTAAACTGTGACACCACAGCACTCTACCGAGGGTGACACAGTGAAACTCTGTCTCAAAAAAAAAAAAAAAAAACTGACACAGGACAGAATTATACATTATCATCAATTCTATTCCATATTTTTACTGGAGTTCCTGGCTAATGAAATAACATGAGAAAAAGAAAAGGTATAAAGATTTGAAAGAAAAAGCAATTTTTTTTTTTTGCAAATGATAAAAATATCTACATACAAAATCCAAGAAAATATATAAAGCTAGTTAGAGAATATAGCAAGATTGCTAGATATAAGATCAATATACAAAAATTAATTACGTTCCCATAGACCAGCAGTAATTGTACAATATAATTGGTGTGGGGGGATACCATTTACAATATCAAGATTAATTATAACTTACGAATAAATAAAACAAAAAAACTAAAGTCTTTACAGGGGAAATTTAAAAACTTTATTGAAATACGTTAAGCCTAAGTAAATAGATATACCATGCTCATGAATGATGGGAAGATTCAATATTGTGAAGATACTGTGCTTAAATTAATAATACAGTATAACCCATAGTTTTTTGATGAAACTCAAAAAGGCTGATCCTAAAATTTATATGGAAAAGTTAAAAACAGTTTTGAAAAAGAACAACATCAGAAGGACTCAGCTTGGTGGATGTCATAACTTATTTTAAAGCAACAGTAGTTGGGTCAATGTGGTATTTTTGTGATGGAGCTAGACAAATAGTTCAGTGGAACAAAATGTGAAGTCTAGACTCGGACCCACTCATCAACAGTATCTTGATAGATTATGAACCAGGTGGATGATTATCCAACTGGAAAAAGTAAATTTAGATTTCTGCCACATCCAGTAACACACATTTAAAAAGGATTAAAGCCACCCGGAGTCAGTGAAAACCACAAACTGTATAGGAAAAGACCCATACATTTTGTTGAAACTTAAAAGTTGTTTACACAAAAGAGAAAAGATAAGCCCCAGAGATTGGGAGAATATGTTTTAGTGCCTATTACCAGCAAGGGATTAGAACTAGATGATCTATAGCAGCGTTTCCCAACCTTTTGGCACCAGGGATCAGTTTCATGGAAGATAAATTCCCACAGACCTGGGAGGGAGGATGGTTTTGATATGAATCTGCACACAATTGACTTATTAGGGTCCCAGTCAACCTCTCTACTAATGATAATCTGTATTTGCAGCTGCTCTCCAGCTCTAGCATCGCCGCCTCAGCTGCCCCTCAGATCATCAGGCATTAGATTCTCGTAAGGAACTCACAACCTGGCGTCCTCACATGGGCAGTTTACCGTAGGGTTCGTGCTCCTATGAGACTCTAATGCTGCTGCTGATCTGACAGGAGGCGGAGCCCAGGCAGTGCTGCGAGGGATGGGGAGTGGCTATAAATGCAGATGAAGCTTTGATGTCACCTGCCACTCACCTCCAGCTATGTAGCCTGATTTCTCATAGGCCAAGGACTGGTACTGTTCTATGGCCTTCAGGGTGGAGACCACTGATCTGCACAACACTTATAAATCAATCAGGAAAAAGGAAAGCAAAACTCCTAAAAAATACGGCCAGGAGTCATAAACAGAAAACTTGCCAAAGAAACTCACATGGTTAATAAACATATTAAAAGGTGCTCACTTCACTAATCATCAGTGAAATGCAGATCAATACCACGATACAACTTCACACCTAGCAGATGGGTAAACATTTAAAAATCTGACAAACCAATGTTAGGAGAGTATGTGGAGCCAGGGAGCTCTTATATATTCTCACAGACCTTTGTAAAGAGGTTGAAAAAATGTAGAAGCTATTTGATAGTGTCAAGTAAAGTTGAAGCTTCACCTCCCCTATGACCCAGCAGTCCTGCTCCTTGGGGTGTATGTATGTGCATGTGTGCACCCATGCATGTGCTCAGGTAGATGGTGTAATTCTCACCCACGTTTGTAAGAAGAGACCACATGAATGTCCATTGCAGCCTCACTGGCAATACCGTAGAACTGGAAACCATCTAAATGCTCCTAAGTAGAGTTATGAATCAATGAATTGTGATATGCTCGTACCATGGAAAACGGAACAGCAGGAAATAAACCAGAGCTAAATGTATCAACACAGATAAATCTCTCAAACATGATGGGGGACAGAAAAAGTAACTTGTAGAAGGATGTGGCCCGTGTGGTACCATTTACTTAGAGTTTGTTTGAATAATGCTGCATGTTTTAACGTGTGCGTACGTGATGAAGTAAAAACACACAAGCACACGTAGACTCAGGGGTGGGGATTGTGTGCCAGGGACCTCAACCACATTTTTCTTCTTTTTTAAAACAATCTTAACCAACTGTGGAAACAGGATTTGACAAAGCCACCAGACAGGTACCTGGATGTTTGTTTATTATTCTACATTCTACATGGATTTTTTTTTTATTGTGCTTCAAATATTTCATGATTAAAAAAAGAGAGCAGGAACTGGAAAATTCATGCTGAAATTGTGACAATCATCTTCGTCTAAGAAGGACAGTACTTCCCTACTGGGAACTTCACACCTTTTCTCTTCCTTCTCCTCTTCCCTCCCTAGGCCCTCTTTAAACTGTGGGGCTCCCCAGACAAGTACCCGAAAGACATCCTGACGTACACGGAATTAGTACTGGACTCTCAGGGCCAGCTGGTGGAGATGAACCGACTTCCTGGTGGAAACGAGGTAGGGACTCCCCAGGGCCTGGAGTCACCCTTTGTAAAGTGTCCCCTTACCAAACAAAAGCATTTTCTCTGTGCATTTGTTTTCTTGCCAGGTGGGCATGGTGGCCTTCAAAATGCGGTTCAAGACCCAGGAGTATCCGGAAGGGCGGGATGTGATTGTCATCGGCAATGACATCACCTTCCGCATTGGCTCCTTTGGCCCACGGGAGGACCTTCTGTACCTGAGGGCATCTGAGATGGCCCGGGCAGAGGGCATCCCTAAAATCTACCTGGCAGCCAACAGTGGGGCCCGCATCGGCATGGCAGAGGAGATCAAACACATGTTCCAGGTGGCTTGGGTGGACCCAGAAGACCCCCAAAAAGTAAGTCATGAAGCTGGTGTGGTGGGGTGATTTCACTGTTGTAGTGTATTTTCAGTGAGGGTGATAGCCAGAGGGTAGAAAAATCTTACTCTTTTTATATATAAAAGCACAGATATATGTGCAGTGCGTAAACAACCATGCAGTGTATCAGTGGTTTTAAAATTTCATTAGTGGGGAGGGGTGGTGATGAGTTTAAAAAAAAAAAAAAAAAAAAAGTCTGAAAAGTCTCCTTAGCAGGATGAGGGTAGAACAAAGTTGATAAATGCTGAGCCGATATATACTGAGCATTTCCTAAATGCCGTGTGCCCTGATAATACACCACTGCCAGCCTCAGAGAATTCTTAAAAATCCTCCAGGACTGCAGGCCTCAAACCCTAGGCTGTGGACTGGTATCAGTCCATGGCCTGTTAAGAACCTGGCTAACTAGATTCATAGCCTCATTGAAGTATATTTTTTAAGGGATTTAAGTACCTGTACCTGACTCCCCAAGACTTCACCAAAATCAGCTCCCTGAACTCCGTCCACTGTAAACACATCGAGGAAGGAGGAGAATCCAGGTAAATAACTTAGCAGGTAGCTCCTTAATTTTGTTCATGGTTCCTATCAGCCAGTAACAGAAAATGCCTCCGGTCCAGCTTGTGTTGATTGATATTTTTAAGTGGGGCTGTGATGTTTATATGGCAGGACCCCTAAGCTTCTGTGGAGGGGGTAAAGATGACTTAAATATTTGGGACATTCTCCAAGGTAAACCCATCCATGTTGTTATAAAATGGATCACCCCTTATATAAAAATAGCACATCGTGCAGTGAGAATCCAATGGATTGGATTGGATGAGCTTGGGATGACCCAGGAGCCACAAGCTCACACTTTAGGAATGGACTGGCCAAATGGACACGGCAGTGATTTGGCGAACAGAGAAGATGTGGACAGGACAGGGCAGGGATCTGAGAACTTCAAAGTTTGTTTTTCTTAGTGGGGTGGACTAAATCAGGAATCCCCAGGCTGGGTTTTCCAGAATGTTAGTAAGTGATATGTGGGGGAGGAAAAGTCTCCACAGTCAGGTGAGTTTGGGAAATACTGGGTTAAATGAGATTTAATAAACATCTGTACTGTGCAGGCCTTCTCAGAACTTTTAATATGCTGAAGTGCTTTGTGAATCTTTAACAGGAGGTAGGCCGGACCGTTTCTCAGGCTCACATGGTCACTGAATGTTGATTAATTGTAAACAGGCTTTCCCTGCATACCCCCATCTCTCTGTAGACCAGCGGTTCTCAACCTGTGGGTCATGACCCCTTTTTAACAATGAAAATACATTGCGGCATTAGGAAGGTTGAGAATCACTGCTGTAGACCAAATACTGTCCCAGATTGCTTTTGGAAGATTATGGGGTGGAGTGATGTTTTTTTAAGTCTCCAAATGCCATATATCTTTGGGTAAGGGAGAAGGTGACAATATTTGATTCTGTACTTGCCCTTTTAGAAATGTTAGCACCTGTTGCAGGGGTTCTAGACCCCTACTATCATTGAACCTCTGGCGACCTTTCCCCTTCCAGTCTCTCCCCTTGCTCCCCAACCCTTCTTGTTTTGGGTCCTTGGGATTTCCTGGGCTAGAGCTCTGCCTTTAACCTGTGTTTGGTATTGGAAGGTACGTCATCACGGATATCATTGGGAAGGACGATGGCCTGGGCGTGGAGAATCTGAAGGGCTCGGGCACCATTGCTGGGGAGTCCTCCTTGGCTTATGAAGAGATTGTCACCATTAGCTTGGTGAGTCCCTCCTGTTTTCTTTTCTTTTTCAACTTTGCTTTTAGAGACTTTCAAATAGTCACAAGAGTAGAGAGGATCAATAATGAGTGCCACGTGCCGATCACAAAGCTCCCCCGTCATCAGTATGCAGCCTTTCCCGTTTCCACTGTCCACCTTCCACCCCCACCCAGCTTAGAATATTTTAAAGCCAGCTCCCATCATGTCTTCCCCCTTGAAACACTTCAGGTGGCTCTGCAGCAGAGATGAGGACTTTTTCTTTCCTTTTTACACAACTGCAATGCTGTTATTACACACACACCCCAAACAACTATTCTTTAATGTCATTGGAACCCACTTTGGGTTTCTGTTTTAAGACTTATCTTGGGAATGTCTTTATAGTTGGTTTGTTTGGATCAGGAGCCCATGGGCTCTCATTTAAAAGGTATTTAGTATTTAGAAGAACTTGTGTCTGACTTGAACTGGTAGAGAATGAGTATTCCCCATCGTAGCCCCATGGCTTTTCTAAATCCGTCCTATCTCTAGTAGTAGTGATAGTGGTGGCAGCTTCTGCAGTCGTAATAATAAGAGTAGTAGCAATAGTAGCAGCAGGAGTAGTAATAGCAGTAGTAGTAGTGATAATAGCAATAGTAACAGTAGTGGTAGGAACAGTAGTAATAGGGGTAATAACAGTAGTGATGTTAGTAGTAATAGTAGTAGTAGTGATAGTACCAGTAGTAATGCTGGTAATAATGGTAGTGATGATAGTAGTAATAGCACTCTTTAATTAGAAACTGTCTTTCAAGGCCTCATTTTTACATGCAAATTTAAATTTTCAGCTTCCAAGGCAGAAGATGCTGGCCCTGAATGTCTTCCTTAGGCTTACTCTCTAGATAGTTTATATATACCTGTGTATATCTTTTCATTTTGTAGTTAGGACTCACCAGAAGTTGCAACATGGTGTGGAGAATCCCACGGACCCCTTCCAGCCTCCTGCATAACAACGGTCCATTAACAAAACCAGGAAACTGGCTAGGAGTGGTGGCTCACACCTGTAATCCCAGCACTCTGGGAGGCTGAGGCAAATGGATTGCCTGAGCTCACGGGTTTGAGACCAGCCTGAGCAAGAGCAAAACCCATCTCTAAAAATAGCTGGGAGTTGTGGCAAGTGCCTGTAGTCCCAGCTACATGGGAGGCTGACGCAAGAGAATTGCTTGAGCCCAAGAGTTTGAGGTTTCAGGGAGCTGTGATGCCACAGCACTCTATGAGGAGCAAGAAAGTGAGACTCTACCCCCCCCAAAACAAAACAAAGCAAAACACCAGGAAACTGATGTTGGTACGATACCGTTAACTCGGTCCAGACTTTATTGGATTTCACTAGTTTTTATGTGCACTCTTAGATGTCCTTTCGGTTGTGCAAGAGTCTAATGGCTTGTGAATGGCCGAGCTCAGCTAAGCTACACACAAGCCTCTTAAGATCCCGAACATTCAGTGTCTGCTGTTTGTCTTTATAACAATCTTTACAAACCATTTTCTTTCCAGATAGGAAGCCAAGCTCAAACCGGGCACTTCGCCTCTCTGTTTGGCCCCAAAGCAGGTTGCCATTGGCCATTTTTGCCCAGCAGGCCCCTGGGCTCTCCACTGCAGTGGGCAGTGGATGCCACGGCACTCCCGGGAATTCAAAAGGTCTCTTCTCCCCGCAGGTGACTTGCCGAGCCCTTGGGATCGGAGCCTACTTGGTGAGGCTGGGCCAGCGAGTGATCCAGGTGGAAAACTCCCACATCATCCTCACAGGAGCAAGTGCTCTCAACAAGGTAATGGGGAGGGGCCTCCGGTGTGGGGAAGGGAACGTGGGGCCGGGAGTCATTTTAACATTCCTGTCCCCTGGTGGGTTTCTTCTTCAATATACAGCCAGTGTCATTCCTACTGACACGGAGATATTTTTCCAATTTGTAACTATCTGGGCCTCTGAGGAGCCAAAAAAGAAGTTTTAGGCTATTTGTAGAACTATGTCCCTTTATTACTGGCATTTTCAAACAACATTATTGTTGTTTCAAAGCAGCATTACACATTACGGAAAAGAACAACAGAAAAAAGTAATTTTGCTCCTTCTCTAATTTCTGTGTCGTTCCCTCTCATCGTCTGTCTTTGGTGGTTAATTGGTGGTGAGGAAACAGTTTAGTGTTCTACTATTTTTACTGTATTAAAACACTTTCCACATTGTTGTAATGTCCGCTCAGCTCTCATGGAGACTTCTCAAAGTCTGGCTCTTAAACCAACTAAAGTTCCCAGGTGATACTTGTTAGGAATGCAGAATCTCAGGCCTCACTGCTGACTGCTGATCAGAAACACTGGGCAGGTAGATTTGCTTTTTTATTAAGACAGGGTCTCTCTCTGTCACCCCAAGCTAGAGTGCTGTGGCTCCATCATGCCTCACTACACCCTCAAACTCCCGGGCTCAAGCTATCCTCCTGCCTCAGCCTCTGAGTAGCTGGAACTACAGGCACATAGACTGTGCCTGGCTAATTTTTAAGTTTTTTGTAGAGATGGGGTCTCACATCACCCACGTGGTTCTCAAACTTCTGGCCTCAAGTGACCGCTTGCATTGGCCTCTCAAAGTTCTAGGATTATAGGTGTGAGCCACTGCACCCAGCCTCAGATTTTGCTTTTGAGATGGCCAAAGTAGTTAGATGCATCACTGGTTCTCAAATGAGAGAACTAATGTAATGTATTGGCTGTGTGTTGGAATTATCTGGAATTTTTTGTTCTTGTTGTTGCAGCTTGGCTGGGGCCCAGTTTGAACCCGCCACCCTCAGTATATGGGGCCGGCACCCTACTCACTGAGCCACAGGCGCCGTCCTAGAAATTTTTTTTAAAAAGAAAAAAATAAATCTGTGCCCGGGTCCTAGCCCCAAAGATTCTGATGTTACTGGTCTGGGTGCAGCCTGGGCATCAGGGTTTTTGAAAAGTCCCAGGTGGTTGGTTCTAAAGTGTAGGCAGGATAGAGGCCCCTGAGTAGGATGACTTCTGAACAGGTGGGAGAGCTCTGGGCTGTGCAGGACTTGGCTAACCGTGTTGTGTCAAAGCAGGTCCTGGGAAGAGAGGTCTACACGTCCAACAACCAGCTGGGGGGCGTGCAGATCATGCATTACAATGGTGTCTCCCACATCACCGTGCCAGATGACTTCGAGGGCGTCTATACCATCCTAGAGTGGCTGTCCTATATGCCAAAGGTGCAGTATCCTCCCTGCTTCTTAAAGCCTAGAAGACTCTCTGTCAAGCTTGTTTGCTAATTGTGTCTCTGTCACCTCCTGGGTGGTGTGGCCTCTGATGCATAGCCCTATACTATTGCTCTTTGGGTGGCACTAATGCTATTGTAGGGATGCTATATATCTATTGGTTCTTTAAAAAGGAGTAGCATTGCCTCTTGACAGAAAAGGCAACATGGATAATAGAGACGCCGTTTAGGCTAGATTTGATTCCTGACTTCAGCTGCAGTAGTTACGTGATTCTGAGACAGTCTTTTACTCTTTCTCAGCCTCAGTTTCCTCATCCATGAAATGGGAATAATCACATTACCTATCCCATGAAGTCATGATGATTAAGTAGAATGATATTTAGAGCTCAGAACTTGGCAGGGCCTCGCCAAATGCTACTTGTGATGTGAGGATTAGTTAGTTCAGGTGGCGCCCCTTTAACTCCATGTTAACCAGGCAGATGTTAGGGGTACTGTTTCTCCGTTGTCTGATGGTGATGATTGTCCTACCCGATTCTTAGGAGATCTACTCAAAAACAGAGAATGAGATAATAGTGAGCTTAGCGCTTAATTAATGGTGACATTCTACACAGATAAGTGAGGTCGTTATTCTTCATCATAATTATTTCTGAAATGTTGGTTCCAGAGTTCAGCTCCTTCTATACCTTCTACCCAAACTCCCAAGTTAAAATATTTGCATACCTGGGACTTCTTACTCCTGAGTGCTCCTTTTCCCCATCGGCATGCCACCTGTTACCACTATCTGCAGCCAGTCTCTCTTTTTCTTTCTTTTAAATGACGTTCCTCTCATCTTGCTTTTTGTAGCAGGAACAATCCTTTCCTCCCTTTCTTTCACTTCCCAGATCGCTGAATCCATCTGAACCCTGAAGCACACTCAGGAGCTCATGAACTAGATGTCAAAAGAATCCATGGGATGGCCAGTCTTTGTCTGGCATTTTCCAAACAGAGCAGTGGCTTCAGAGGCCTAGGGAAGGGATGTTGCTACATAATTAGGCATAGCCTAGTCAGAGGAGAAAAGTACAAATAGCAGAGCAGGAAGCACTGTTGACAAGCACCAGAGCCTGAGTTGGAGACTTGGCTTTCTTTTTTAGGATAATCTCAGCCCAGTCCCTATCATCACACCCACTGACCCCATTGACAGAGAAATTGAATTCCTCCCATCCAGAGCTCCCTACGATCCCCGGTGGATGCTTGCAGGAAGGCCTCACCCAAGTAAGTCCTAAAGTGTTTTGCCTGGGACCTGGGTCTTGGATTTCTTTCAGGGCCTGGGATAAAGGAGCACTTAGGTAGAAGCACTGATATGATCCTGTATCCCAGAGCAGTACTGCTGAGACCAAATGCAGGAGGAGTGGAGAAATGATGATTTCTCTTAGCCATTGACCAGGAGGGGATGGGAACAGCCTCTGGTTTCTGGAGCTGATAGGGAAGTGTGAGATGCCACAACACAATGGTGTTGTGACCTGCCTCCCCAGGGTCACACTGATCTCTCTTCCTATCCCCTCTTCTCTCTGTCTCTTTGGCTAAACCTTCACCAAGAACTCTCTGAGAGTTTTTCCAGGATGGGCAATCGGGCCTCTTCTAAACACACACGCACACGTGTGGACACACGCCCCTGTGCACACACACACACTCTCTGTCTCTTTCTGTAAGAGGGGTGGGTTTGTCTCTTGCAGGTATATCATTTCATGTTGAGCAACCAGAACAGAACAGGAAAGCTGAGCTCCCTGTTACCATATCCCAAGTCTAGAATTTCCTGTGCTGCTCCCTTTAGACCCTGGCCAATTCTTCCAGCCGTGCAATGCGGGAGAGGCGACCCTCAGGAGCAGGCCAGAGCCCAGCCAGCAAAGGGAGCCCAGTGGCTTGCTGCCGTCTGTTTCCATTTCCCTGTGGCTCTCTTGTAGGGGCTACTTGTTATAATTAAAAAATGTTCAGTTTCTCCCTGACAGTTGTCTCCGCCCAGTCAGGTGTGGAAGCTGGGCTGTCCCATTCCCAAGTGCCCTGCCTCCCACACACTTGCCCCTGAGACTCCTCACACTGTCTGGCTCCCCCCTCCTTATCAAAACTTACATTGTCATGTGGATTTAAATTTCTGTCTGGGTGCCCATAGCTCAGTGGTTAGGATACCAGCCACATGCTCTGGGGCTGATGGGTTCAAACCCAGTCCGGGCCTGCTAACCAAACAACAACAAAAATAGCTGGGCGTTTTGGTGGGCGCCTGTAGTCCCAGCTACTAGGGAGGCTGAGGCAAGAGAATCACTTGAGCCCAAGAGTTTGAGGTTGCTGTGAGCTATGATGCCATAGCACTCTACCAAGGGTTTAGAAACTCTCTCTAAATCAATCAATCAATCAATCTCCATTTCCTCCCTAGCAGTGGCTGTAGTTGACATCATCATATTCTTTCTGTCTGTTTGGGGAATTGAAGACTTTCTAACCAGTTCAGGGATTATTACGCTGCAACCAGCAGGCCAGGATGAATTTTCCTGAGCAGGCGGTCCCTCCCTGAAGTCCTACCTTCTGGGAGATGGCCATCAGCACTTTTTGCATCTTGGGAAGAGAAAGTAGGGCCTGTGATTAGGACGTCAGTGTGTTTGGTATTGATGGGAAATTGGTGGTAATTGGATGTTCCATATGGACTGAATTCCTGACTTCGTGTATGTTTTACGGCCCTGTTTATTGTGGGATTTTTTGTTTGTTTTGTTTTGTTTTCTGTAAGGGCTTAGGATCTGTGTGGTCTTGGGGGAAGGGGGCATTTGGGCTACGAGTTTAAAGACAAGCCGTCCTTACAGAGATTGTAGAACAGTCTACTCAGCCAGGTTTCCCTCGGAGGCCCTCACTCACACAGCCCCTCATCCTGGGCACTGCCCTTCTGTCCACAGCTTTGAAGGGAACCTGGCAGAGTGGATTCTTCGACCATGGCAGCTTCAAGGAAATCATGGCACCCTGGGCCCAGACCGTGGTGACAGGACGAGCAAGGTTGCCGTGAGGATGGGAGCAGGCTACATGCACCCAGGCATTAGGCTGGGGGGCCACTGGGGACATTTTCTTCCGGTCCCCAGGATTTTCCCAAACAAAAACCCAGCTAGGGGAATGGTTTTCTGGATGTGAAATCTAGATTCTCTGTCTGTGGCCTCAGAGGGCGTCTCAGGCAGCCTCTTTCTGGGGGCCAGGACCTTAACCTCTGGTCACTCCCCAGCTGTGGGGGCCACTAACCCTTTTGGGAATCAGATGGTGGCCCTGGCTACCCTCCCCAGAAAACTACACAGACATTGAACACTCTGAATTCCATTTCAAGAGGGCCATGGACAGGATCTCTGTTGTACACGATTGCTGGTGGGAGGCTTAGATGCTTGGGTGGTTTCCAAGCTGAGCAGCTCCCTCATTAGGGATGTAGCCTCCATCTTCTTGGACAGCTCCAGCTGCCTGAAAATTCTTCCTTATATTGGGCCCCACTTTGAATCCTCAGAATTTACTACTCCAGTTCTGTCACATATGACCAGCTGCTACCACATCTCAGTGTAGGTCTAGACACCAAGCCACACTTGGACAGAGCTTAGGGACGTAATCTTGGCTGAGACCCAGCTCAGGGGTCAGCCGCAAGCCGGGTGCGTCACTAGATTGTTCATTTACTTGCACAATGACCCTATAAGGCAGGTGGGGGTGGGGACTTTTATATTAAGGGAAGGCCTTCACGTGGAAGAAGGAGTTGATTTAATGTCAGGTTTTTTACAAAAATGGTTTTTAAAAGAAACACTTATAGAGAAGTGAGTGCCAATCCTGTGTGGAGTACTTTAGTATGTGCAGCCCAGGAGGTAAATAACAACCATTTACAGCAACTACCACTTACACTTAGGACATTTAAACTGCTTAGCGTGTGCTATTACTTCCAACCACCACAATGATCCCCATCTTACAGATGAGGGTGAGTGATGGAGGCTGGGGCTTCAGCTCACATCCACCAGAGCCAGGACTTGCAGCTATGACTCATACCGGGAACTGGAGTAGTAAATTCTCCAATTTTTTGGAGGATCCAATCTGGGGCCATCAGCATTTGGCCCAATCTGGGGATCCAATCTGGGGCCCAATATTAGGAAGAATTTTCAGGCAGCTGGAGCTGTCCAAGAAGATGAAGGCTACATGCTTTGGGGCACTTTCTTTGCCTTCCAGCAAATAATCCACCAGATTAAAAATAGCATCCTCTCTGGGCAGCGCCTGTGGCTCAAAGGAGTGGGGTGCCAGCCCCATATGCCGGAGGTGGCGGGTTCAAACTCAGCCCTGGCCAAAAACTGCAAAAAATAGCATCCTCGCCAACCTGCCTCTGTCCACACCCAGAAATGCCCACAGGTGGGGCTGGGGGACCCAGATACCTCTGAAATCAGCCTGGGGTGCTGCCTGGCACCCAGCTCACCTGTGCTTGCCTTCTAGGCTGGGCGGGATCCCCATTGGAGTGATCGCTGTAGAGACCCGGACAGTGGAATTGGTGGTCCCTGCAGACCCTGCCAACCTGGATTCTGAAGCCAAGGTGAGGGGCCCAGGAGCTGTGGCTACTGATTTCGGTGGCTTTGCCAGTGAGAGTGAGTGCTGGGCATGGTGGTCCCAAACCTGCCGGGCCAACTCAGGGGTGGAAAGCAGCAATTCAGCAGTCCTGGGCCCCAGAGGGGCTGGTGCCTATTTCTCTGCTGCTTTGTCTGTGGGATACACGCTGCTATGCACCATCTTTCCCTGGGCTTCCCTCCCATCTTGCCCCTGCTCCTTTTTTGTGTGCGAGGCCACGGCACATACTGGGAAGAGTTCAGAAGTCACAGGGCTGGGTCCTAGGACCAACATTGCCACTGACTGAGTGTGACCTCCGCTAGCCTAGCACCCCTTTGAACTTGGGAATAGGGACAGAGGGAGCCCCGCTGGACTGCAATGTAAGGGTCTAGTGGCCGTGCTTTAGGCCCTTCTTCTGAGCCCAGGCTCTGGGGTGGGTGCCAGTGCAGATGGGATTGCCCGTCCTCCCTTTAGGGCAAGGCCCTGGCAGCTGTCCTGTTCCTGGGACCTGATCCAGGTGGCTCTGTGTTACAGATAATCCAGCAGGCGGGCCAGGTGTGGTTCCCAGACTCCGCCTACAAAACCGCCCAGGCCATAGAGGACTTCAGGAGGGAAAAGCTGCCCCTTCTGATCTTTGCCAACTGGAGGGGCTTCTCTGGGGGTATGAAAGGTAAGCTTTCTGCCCTGTGGCTCCCGAAGGGTCAGCACCTTTCAACATCCCTGAATACAGGAGGCAGTTTAGCTCCTACTGTCTCATTTTATAGATGAGGACTTGGGGTCAGAAGCAGAGTGTGACTTTCCAGAGGTCACACTGTGAGGCACAAGGTGGGCAGGGGCACCCCTGAAACCTTCTGAGTGCCCCGGACAGTCACCTCCTGGTGTGGTAAGGAGGGGCGTCTGCCCTGCCTGCCACAGAGGGCTGCGCTGAGCCTCGTGTGCCCTTGCAGTTGTACACAGGCCCTTTGACACTCCTGAGCACATTCAGAGAGACAGTGGCTGTCAGTGGGGTGTTGAGGACAAAGCCAGAGGGGAGGCAGACGGACTTGCCATGAATCCTTGCTAGCTAGGTGTCCTCAGTGAGCCTCAGTTTCCTTCCTTTGTGAATGGGGATAAGAACAGAGCCAATTTGGAGATACCCAGGTGAGGACCCGATGAGCTAATTCCTGGCACGTGGTGCAATTGCTGTTGATATTATTGTCACATTATTGGTTATCACACAGAGTGCCTGGGTGGGTACTCCAAGGGATGTGTCTTGGTGGAAGAAAAGGGCCGTGCTGGGCTGGATATGGTGGCTCATGCCTATAATCCTATGTAGCATTTTGGAAGGCTGAGATGGGTGGATTCATTGAGCCTAGGTGTTCAAGACTAGCCTGAGAAAAATTGAGACCCCCCCATCTCTACTAAAAATAGAAAAACTAGCCAGGCATTGTGATGGGTGCCTGTAATCCCAACTACTCTAGAGGCTGAAGCAAGAGGATTGCTCAAGCCCAAGAGGTTGAGGTTGCTGTGAGCTACGTTGATGCCCCAGTGCTCAACCCAGGGTGACAGAGTAAGACTCTGTCTCAAAAAAAAAGAAAGAAAGAAAGAAAAAAGAAAAGGGCTGTGCTGCCTGTGGATAGTGGGAAGGGTCCATGTGGTTTTCTGGGCTGTTCAGTGTGCTGGAAACCATGGGCCGGGGGGGTAGGGGGGAGCAATCATGGGCGAATCTGAGCTGGAAGGATCTCAGAGATTGGTTAGTCCCTGTACCACCCCTGACAGATGAGAACACCAAATGTGAGTGACCTGTCCAAAATCACACAACCACTTGGGGAGTGATCCATGTTCCCAAACCTTGGTCCAGTGCTCTATAAGCCTCTCAGCTGAGGTCAGGCAGGGTGGTGGCCTCACACGTGGATCAGTGGGAGGCCTGAAGTCACCTAACCAGGCTTTGCTTTTCAGACATGTATGACCAGGTGCTGAAGTTTGGCGCCTACATAGTGGATGGCCTCAGGAAGTACACACAGCCTATCCTGATCTACATCCCACCCTACGCAGAGCTCCGGGGAGGCTCCTGGGTGGTCGTCGATGCCACCATCAACCCCCTATGCATAGAAATGTACGCCGACAAAGAGAGCAGGTAGGTGTGTTGCCTCTGACCTGGCTTAGCCTATTCTTCTTCTCCCAGTCTTGAGGCCCCATCGCCTTTGAGCCCCTGGCTGGGGATCACAGAGGCCATTCTGTTTCTGAAGGAAGGAGAACCTCCAGTTTCTCCAATTTGCATCTAAGGCAGTGTGCATTGGATTTCACAGGAGTTAGTAGCTGGAGCCCCACGGTGGTGGAGGAATGTTGTCTCTTCTTTCATAGCTTGTACTCCCCTCCTGCCTACGGAAGTTTGCAATCAAAAAATAAAAAGGTAACACCAAAAGCACATGAGCTTCCTGGCAGCCAGAATGAAAGGGGATATACGATGAGCTGTTTATCTTTCATTAGAGTCTTGAGTTTCTCCCAAAGCTCTGAGTTTCTGTAGAGGCTTTTGCTATTTTGCTCAGTTTTATAACTGAGGGCCTAACCTAGCTCCTGACACATGTAGGAAATACTGGCTGACCAAATGGCTGAATATTTACATGAGGAGAAAGTAGTTCTTCATGGGAAAGAAAGCTTGGCAGTTCTTTTCGTTGTTGTTTTGTTTTTTCAGAGACAGTCTCACTCTATCACCCAGGCTAGAGTACAGTGGCATCAGCTTAGCTCACAGCAACCTCAAACTCCCAGGCTCAAGTGATCCTCCTGCCTCAGCCTCCTGAGTAGCTGAGACTACAGTTGTTCACTACCACATCCAACTAATTTTTCTATTTTTAGAAGAGACAGAGTTTCACTTTTGCTCAGACTAGTCTCAAACTCCTGACCTCAAGCAGTCCTCCCCACCTTGGCCTCCCAGAGTGCTAAGTTTACAGATGTGAGCCACCACACTTGGCCTTGGCATTTATTTAGGAGGAATTTATCTGAAGAACTCTTAGAGAAGGGATAATGACCATAATGCTTACAAGACTGTTATTGATGGCTTCAAAGTGAAAACTACATGCTGTGCAAGATGTAAAGGCCTCAAAAGTAATTCTACCCAAAATATAGGCAACACCATTCCTACCATTCCTATGTTCACTCCCTCATTCATTTATTCATTCAGTGAGCATTTATTGAGTACCTACTATGTGTCCAAATGTGTTAGGTTTTATGCTAGTCAATGTGATACATTGGCAAACAAACCGACTCTGTCCTATCTTCAGGGTTCCTAGACCCTTATGCTAGGGCAGCTGCTGAGGTCAGTCCCCCAGGAAGACTCAGGGTACTGAGCAACACTCAAATGGTATCATCATTAACTTTTCACTCTGGCCACCAGGAAGCTCAGAGCTACCTGTCATATTCTTGAGGGCTTCCAAGCTGTCAAAAGCAAAAAGGGATGGGGAGACAGTGAGAGGTGAATAGGAGGGTGACTGGTACAGGACCATGTTGGGCACTCATTGTGCCTTGGTGAGCTTAAAAGAGACCAGAAGAAGTGTCCAGCCTCTAGGAGAACAGAAAAGTCAGAAAGGACTGTGGCCACATAGCAGGAAGGTTTTATGGAGACTTTCTCTGCTATCATGGAGAAAGCCTTATGCTCTTGAACCTGAAAGCATCCTCTAGATTTCAGAAAGTATTATTTTAAAAAATTGGCTCAGTGTCTCCTTTTGTGGCTATAGAGGCCCAGAAAAGAGAAATGACTCGCCCAAGGGCTCACGGTGTTGGTGAAAGAGCTGAGAACTGATCCCTAGATCTCCTGACTTTCTTACCAACATGCAGGAGCTGTCACTTGCTGGGTGACAGCTCAGACACCCCCATCTCTGCCTTTTCCTTTTTTCAGGGGAGGTGTTTTGGAGCCAGAGGGAACAGTGGAGATTAAGTTCCGAAAGAAAGACCTGATCAAGTCCATGAGAAGGCTCGACCCAGTTTACAAGAAGCTCGTGGAACAGCTGGGTAAGAGGGTCTCAAAGGCATCCCCTCTTAGAGATCGAGAGAGGCCCAGCTGGCTCTATTGCTAGAAGTTTCTAGTATGTTAAAAATAAAGACGTATCCAAAAAACAGCTGCAGCTATTGTGAGATATTTTAGATATTCACATTTCTAAATCAACCCCTTTCACATTAAAAATGTATATAATGCCATAGTGAATTTATTTCTCAGCACACACAAAATAAAACAAAGTGTTTTCCAATAAGAAACATCAGAATTCTCTTATTGGATAGCATCATGTTCCTTTAGAATTTCTAACCATATATAAAGTATTTACCGATCTCGCTTGACTAATAGCTTTGTTTCACTTGTAGTCTTCAGGTGTAATTCTCTTTAAATGTTCCGATATGAGGGCAGTGTCTTTATAACTGTGCTAGTCACAAGATTTATTACCAGGAGTGTGTATGATTTCTGCCTGGTTTGGTATCAGGATAATGCTGATCTCACAGAATGAGTTGGGAGGTGTTATTGTCTAAGTTTGTGTAGCATTGGCATTATTTCTTTAAAACTTTGATTGGAGGTTTCTAACTACAAATTCAGCTTCTTTATTATATCCAGGACTATTTGTGTTACCTATTTCCTCTTGAGTGAGCTTGGGTAGTTAATTATGTATTTCAAGGAATTTGTCTATTTCATCTACGTTGTCAAATTGGCATAGAGTTGCTTACATTATGCCCTTTTATATTATTTTCAATGTATATTAAAAATGGTAACCAATAGAATCCTTACAAGCACAGTGGTTCTGATAGAAGGGGAACATTCTTGCACTTGTGAGCGCATTTCTGAGACAGCAGAAGCACCTTGATCCAGGAGTAATATCAGAGTTAAAAGTTCAAACTTCTCACCTGGTTTGTACCCTCCTGAGAAAAGAATCCCCCCAACACACCTCATGTGGCCACCCTCCATGGTTGCTCTGAAAGCCAGACTAGCTTTTCTGGGTACCTGCAGGGGCGCCGGAGCTCTCAGAGAAGGAGCGCAAGGACCTGGACAGCCGGCTGAAGGCTCGCGAGGACATGCTGTTCCCCATCTACCACCAGGTGGCGGTGCAGTTCGCCGACCTCCACGACACACCCGGCCGGATGCTGGAGAAGGGTGTCATCTCTGTGAGAGCCCACAGCTGCCCAGGGGGTTGTGAAGGACCCGTCCCAAGGCCACCTGGTTTCCAACACACGGAGATTAGGGTTCAGGGGTGGGCATGGGTTAAACTCGGCTTGTTACAATCACCTGGAGAGGTTTAAAAAACCCAGTGTCTAGGTGGAGCTCCAGATGGAGTAAATCCAAGCACCTGGGTTGGGAGCTAGGCAGTAGTATTATTTTATTTTTTTTTTTTTTGCAGTTTTGGCCAGGGCCGGGTTTGAATCTGCCACCTTCGGCATATGGGGCCAGCGCTCTACTCCTTTGAGCCACAGGTGCCGCCTGGCAGTAGTATTTTTTTTAATTCCTAAGAGATTCCAATGGGCAGTGAGGTTTTGGAACCATTAATCGTATGCTTATGACCGCTCAGTCAGCTGAGACCTGGGCTGGGTTTGGAAACCATTGTTGCTGCCAACTGTGCTCCCAGCCCTTGACTGACACAAGCCCTTCCTGATGCCCTGTCCCTAAAGGCGTCACATAGTCACCTGCCTGTGTCCAGGGCTTGTCAGCTTCTCTTGTGGGAATATTCTCCCTCCCAGCTGCGTTAAGCCTCTGCGTGAGAGGTGAGGTGGGTACCATTTTTATTCAGGGAACATTTCTTCACCTAGAGCTGGACTAAGTCCAGGTGAAGTCCTGGCTCTGCAGGTGCCACCGCTTTCCCAGAGTCAGCTTCCCCGCCTGTGAAATGGGAATGAATACAGAGACTGGGCTCAGGGCTAGGCCTGGCCATCAGCAAGGGTGTGGTAGAGCCAGGGTGGCTCCTCCTGCCCTTGCTGGGGGCTCAGGCCAAGGCCTGTCTGCAGGACATCCTGGAGTGGAAGACGGCACGCACCTTCCTGTACTGGCGTCTGCGCCGGCTCCTCCTGGAGGACCAGGTCCGGCAGGAGATCCTGCGGGCCAGCGGCCAGCTGAGCCATGTGCACATCCAGTCCATGCTGCGCCGCTGGTTTGTGGAGTCGGAGGGTGCCGTCAAGGTGGGCCTGGGGCGGAGCCCTGAGGGGGAGGACAGCCTGCATATCGGCAGGGCCCCTCTCTGAGGCCGCTTCCGTCCATCCCAGGCCTACCTGTGGGACAACAACCAGGTGGTGGTGCAGTGGCTGGAGCAGCACTGGCAGGCGGAGGATGGCCCGCACTCCACCATCAGTGAGAACATCAGGTGCCTGAAGCACGACTCCGTCCTCAAGACCATCCGAGGGTGAGTGGTCGCCGCTGCTGCCTGCCCCTCAGGTTTACTGGCGGGTGCCCGGGCCAGCATTCACCTCCAGCCACCAGACTCTAAAGCAGCCCCTTGGAATGTACTGGGCAGCTAGACCTCATGTGCTGAGGTCCATAGCCTGGACTCGAGCCCTGGGCACAGAGCCCTTGGGTACACTAAGCAGGCGTGAGCTGCCAGCCACTCGGTGGGGATTTTCCAGGGCTGAGGCTGGTGCAGGACCTTTGCCAGAGGTCTCCTCCCCCCTCCCAAGCCATCCCCCATGAAGGAGGGAACAGAACACAGGGCACCTCGTTTAGGGGTTGAAGCTGAGGTTCAGGGGAAATGCTTTGTCTCAGGTCACATCACATAGCTAGTGACCAGCAGGGAATGGGGTGCCTCAAGACAATCTGACCCCAGGCCATAGTCCCTTCTGTCTCCCAGCACTGTCAACCCATGGTGACCACAGCAGGAAGGGAATGGGAAGCTCTGGGTCCCGCACAGGAGGGACTCTGCTACCCTAGGGGCCACTGAATGAAGTGGCAGGAGTGACCCAAATCCTCTCCCCTGCCTTGCAGCCTAGTCCAAGAAAACCCTGAGGTGGCCATGGACTGCGTGATGTATCTGAGCCAGCACATCAGCCCAGCCGAGCGGGCCCAGGTTGCTCACCTGCTGTCTACCCTGGAGAGCCCAGCCTCCACCTGACCTGGCGTCAGCCATTCTCAGGACCACGGGCAAGAGGAACCATGTTGACCACTAACCTCACATCTTCATTGAGGCCTTGCTTTAAACAAAATAAAGTTAAAGTCCTGGGCATTTCTGCAGGGCTGCTGATCCCCACCTGACTCCTATCTCAATAAAAGGCCCAGGGGTGCATCTTCCAAGCAGAAAGAGCCTTCCCTGGAGCCTTCTCCAGAGTTGGGAAGTTTGTTCTGTTCTGTCTCTTAAGACAAAATTTTTGCTGCATCACAGAATCAAATTGAACCAAAACATGTGTTTCCTTCTGCTTTTCTGTGCCTGGGAGCCAGGAGATCTTTATATCACATCATGGAATCTTTTATTTTTTTATTCTGAGACCAGCACTTGATGTAAGTGTCTTGCATATTTCAGCTGAATAAAAGGGCCACAGAAAAAAATTTGTAAACAAGACTAGAGAGAAAACCTATTTTTATAATGATGCTTCTTTGAATACTGCGTGGTCATCCAGGAAGGGGTATGAATGGTTTTTTCATTAAGAGAATAAAATGTTACTTCCTTTCCCAAGTGGCTCCAGTGAATCACTAGGAATGTCCCACTGGCAGGCCACGCTTAACACGCTCATTAGCAGAGATTCGCTTTTCAAGAAAGGGAAAGCAAAACAGGCGCGGCCTGGCTGCAGGTTCCAGGCCATTTGGAGGAGTCTTTAATTCGGCCGTAGTCCTCTGCCTGCCTCTTCCCTCCAAGGAAAACAAGGACTGCCCCTCCCACTTCAGGATTGGCCACCCACCCTGCACGTGTGCTCCATGCACAAGTACAGAGGGGGAGGGGAAGCCCTCAGCCAGACTCACAGCCCAACTTGCTCATCAGCGTTGCCGCCATCACCCTTCGAGTTGCTGTTGTTTCCTCACCTGTCGGCTTGATGTCCATGGTGGGATGCAGCCCCAAGGAACAGAGCTGTTGGTGACCACAGACCAGACTGTGATGATCACGCCAATTTACTCAGGGAAGACTCTGCAATGGGACCTCCAGCACCTGGCTCTGAAGCCTGCACAACCTTGGGGCTGGCGGTCCTCTGGTCCCTCCCACCTGTGCTGGAGTTAGAGGTGAGGGGACTTGCCCCCAGCCTGCGGCCCTGGTGAGCCGTCTGCCTGCGACACTGAAGGTTATGACTTGCCAATGCGGAAGCCCATGGGGTTGCCCAGGGAAGCCTCTGCAAGCTGGGATGCTTGAGGATGTCCAAGTTTAAAAAAATAATACTCTGATGTCATCCAGTGACAGCCCTGGCAAGTAAGGGTGGTGTGGAGGCAGTGAAGGGCAGGAGAAGCGGATTGTCCATTGTCCCGTCATGGGGCTTGCTGAGGAACCAAAGGTTGTTCAATCAGGCAAGGCCCTCTTGGTTTGGGAGGGGAAGACAAGTCTATGAATAGTTGCTTTCCTAGAACAGTGGGTAGAGGGCTCCCCGGGATGTGTGCACAATAAACTATTTTTTGAAGGAAAAACTTGGGCTTTGACTTGATTTTGTACCCTGAAGGTACAGGTGTATTGCTTGAATTTTTACTACTTGGTTTCAAATACATATTGTGATTGTTAAATCCAGAAGGATCCACCTTTCTGAGTCACTAAGACAGGAATGAGATAAAAAAGGAGCAAGGGTACCCACTCAGGCCACACGGAAAGGCTTCCTTCCCTATGGTTGGCACTAACTTAACAGGTGCATGAGCCCTGTCCCTGCAGCTGAGCCCCTGAGCCACACTGCTTAGCAGCTGAAGAGATCTTCCCAAAATGTTACTTCACTGTTCTAAGAGCTCTTGGGACAAAGTTCTCACCCAGCCCCCTAAGGCTGGGCACGAGCCAGTCCTGGCCATCCACCTCCCACTCACTGAGTCTGTCATCGCCACACACCATGTCTGCACTGTCACTTCCCCTCCAGGTGGGCACAGACCATTTCTCCTGGAGAACTCCTCTTGCTTGGCCTTTCCCTGGTGGACTCCTACTTATCCCTCAAAACTCAAGGGCCAGGTGCAATGGCTCGATCCTGTAATCCTAGCATTCTGGGAGGCTAAGGCAGGTGGACTGCCTGAGCTCAGGAGTTCAAGACTAGCCTGAGTTAGAGCGAGACCCAGTCTCTAAAAATAGCCAGGCGTTGTGGTGGCTGCCTATACTCCCAGCTACTTGGGAGGCTGAGGCAATGAATCATTGAGCCCAAGAGCCTGAGGTTGCTGTGAGCTATGATACAGTGGCACTCTACTGGGGGCAACAAAGTGAGACTCTGTCTCAAAAAACAAACCAAACAAAACCCCAAGTCAAATGGCAATTCCCCTGGGAAGCTCTCTGTTGGTTTGGGAGCCCATCCTCTGGGGTCCCATAGCCCTTGTTCTCCCCATTTCATGTGCTATGTAGGAAACACAGATTATACCCAGGGATCCCCGAGTTCTCCTGGCTGCAAAACCAAGGATGACTTTTGGAGAATAGTTTCCTAACAGACAGGTGCCCTTTTCTGGAAGGTAAGATGAGAAGCTGCTGCTGGTGATATTCTGTGTCTGGTAATATCCTGAACCAGGGGGTGTATCTCAGAGCAGAATAGTGAGTAGGAGCTGGGTGTGGTGGCTCAAGTCTGTAATCCTAGCACTGTGGGGGGCTGTTGTGGGAAGAAGACTGGAGCCCAGGAGTTTGAGACCAGCCTGAGCAAGAGTGAGACCCCATCTCTATTTTTATTTAAAAATAAAATAGTTAACCAGGTATGGTGGTGCATGCCTATAGTCCCAGAGGCTGAGGCAGGAGCATCACTGGAGCCCAGGAGTCTGAGACGACAGTGGTGAGCTATGATGACACCACTGCACTCTAGCCTGGACAACAGTGTGAGACTCTGTCTCAAAAACAGAAAAGAGAGGGGAAAAATAGTGTGTAGGAAACACAGGCAGAGCCTAAAAATATTTTTTATTTTTATTGTTATAAAGAATACCTAACAATATTTACCATCTTAACCATTTTTAAGTGTTTGGTACACTAGTCTTAAATACACTTTGTTGTGCAGCCAACCCCCAGAACCGTTTTCATCCTGCACAAGTGAAACTCGTACTTACTACACACTAACTCCCCACCTCTCCCTCCCTCAGCCCCTGGCAACCTCCATTCAGCTTTCTGTCTCCATGAATCTGACTGCTCTAGGCACCTGGCAGAGGCGGAATCATACAGTATTTGTCTTTTTGATAATGGGCTTGTTCACTCAGCTCACTGTCCTCAGGGTTCATCCGTGTCGTAGCACATGTTAGAATTTCTTCCTTTGTAAGGCTGAATGACACTCCCGTGTATCTGCGCATCCCTCGATGGACTCTTGGGTTGCTTGCACCTCTGAGTTGTTTGAATTCAATGCTGTTGTGAACATGGGTGTGCAAATCTGTTCACGTCCCTGCTCTCAGTCCATTTGTGTGAATACCCAGAAGTGGAGGCACTGAGTCATCTGGTAATTTTGCGGGACCACTGTCCTGTTTCCATAGCCGCTGCATCACTTTACATCCCCACTGGCAACACACGAGCGTCCTAATTTTCCCCCTTCCTTGCCAACATGACTCGTTGTCGTATTTGCTTTTGGTGTGTTTGGTAACATCCATATAAGGGATGAAGCCTAGAAATAATTTTAACTCAAAAGCCCTTGAACCTTTTGACTTGCACACCTCGAACGTCAGGGATGAGATACATAGACCCCCCTTGTGAGCACTCCAATTACTCTGGCCTCGTCCGCCAGCTGCCCCCTCTGCATTCCACCATGATGCTGAATTCCAAGCACCCATAGACCTCACCCAGTGGTGCCAGCGCCTCCTGGAGGCTGGTAGACAAAAAACCACCAGACCAGCCAGGCTTATACTCAGTGAGGAGGCGCCCATAGTACCTCTTGCTCAGTTTTCCCTGCCTCCCTCTCCTGGGAACCTCCTTATAATGCAAGTGCTCTAATATGGACAGACTGAAGAATAACTCAGGCACGGGAAGGCAGGTGTAACATGCTTTATTAGCTCAGGCAGCTGGTGAGCTGGTTACATGGGAGGTCCGCCCTGACCTAGCTCCCGGCGGCCAAGGAGCTGAGATGCACAGAAGGGGTCTGTACTCTACAGTCCACAGTCTCCAGTCTTCAAGCCACACAAACAGGAGGCCTTGCACACCTCTCTGTCTAGGGGAACAATAGAGGCAAGGTGCCAAGCGGCAGTTACGTAGCATGGTGTCACTGAGCACAGACATGGCCATCTTGGAACACATGGTGAGAAGGCCCACAGCATTCCCCATGGGTGAGAACGCCCAGACAACTTTATTTTGTCCCATTCCCAAGATCACAGGTGAGAAAGCCCCTACACTCCTCCTCCCTTTGAGTTGCCTCAAAGCCCCTCTGCTTCCCCAGGTGTGAGGGCTTCCCCAGCCTGAGTTGGAGGAAAGTTCCAGGCTCCCCAGCCCATGGGGCTCCCTTACCCCAGTTACCACACCCACCTAGTGACTGCTCCACACTCTGTCTTGGCCTCTTCTCACCCTTCCCATGGCTGAGTCCCAAACTTAGCTGGGATGCTCGTGACAAACTCAGACCTGCCTCAGTCCTCTGGAGTTGCGATCACCCAGGCAGGGACCTGGAGCTCTGGATTTCACAAGGCCCCAGGAGGTGTGATAATCAGCAAGTTCGACCACCTTTCCGTGGTCAATTGTGGAAGACTCGAGTCAATTGTAGGAGAAGCACAGGAACTAGAGTCGATTGAGATGCTCCCCCCAGGGAGGGTTGTGTGGCTTGTCTCTTAGAGGAAGCTGGGCAGCCTGCACAGCAGAGCATTTGGGTCCTAGTGCTGAGCTGTCCCTCCTCTCTTGGGAGTATCTGTTTCTGTCCTGTGGCACCCTGTGGAAGCTGCTGAGGGGGGCTATGCTGAGAGAATGGGTTCTGTGGACAAGGCACCCCTTGGCAATGGGTGTGAGGCCTGGCCTGGCTCCCTGTGTCTTTGTCTGCCCCTCACGTTGCCCGCAGTTCAGCCACAGTTACATCTCTGTCCTGCTACCCCTGGATTCAGCGGGCTACGACTCCAGAGATAGGAGGTCCAGCACCCACACCCACAGGGAGGACAGTCAGGACACCATGAGAAGGAGGTGATGCCTGGCTCCACCCTCTCATGTCCTGCTTTTTGATCAGATCTTTTCTGGTTTTTTTTTTTTTTTTTTTTGAGACAGAGTCTCATTCTGTCACCCTGGGTGAAATGCTGTGGCCATTGGCTTAGCTCACAGCAACCTCAAAGTCTTGGACTCAAGTGATCTACTTGCCTCAGCCACTTGAGTAGCTGGGACTACAGGCCCCCGCCATAATGCCTGGCTAATTTATCTATTTTTAGTAGGACAGGGTCTCACTCTTACTCAGGCTGGTCTTGAACTCCTGAGCTCAGGCAATCCATCTGCCTCAGCCTCTCAGAGTGCTAGGATTGTAGGCATGAGCCACCTCGCACAGGCTGATCAGATCTTTTCATCCCATCTCTGTCACTTCAGGAACCGACGCTAAGCCAGGCCGTGCAGGGCTGTAGAAGGACCTGGGAGACCTGCAGACCAGGTTAACTCCCAGCTGGGTAACCTCGGGGAGCTTTTGCTCTTCTTCCAACTAGCAAGCAGATGGCATCAGCTGAGCCCTCTGAGATGTGATAAAAGACCCTGGGGAAGGGCAGTGTCATCTCTACCCCTTACTAATCACATGCAAGCTACTTAGCCTTGGTGAGCCTCGGTTTCCTCCTCTGTAAAATGGGGATGCATCGGTCTTCTATGGCAGCTGTAACAACCACCACTAAGTTAGTGACTTAAAGCAACACAAGCTTATTGTCCTGCAATCCTGGAGGTCAGAAATCCAAAATGGGCCTCACAGGGCCAAGATCAAAGTATCAGCAGGGCTGTGGTCCTCCTGCAGGTTCTAGGGAAGAATCTGTTTTCTTGCCTTTTCCAGCTCCTAGAAGCTCCATTCCACTTTCAAAACCAGCACTGCAGCATCTCCAAATCTGACACTGACTCTCCTGCCTCCCTCTTTCATGTAGAAGAGCGCTGTGATTTCACTGGACCCACCTTGATAACCAAGGATAATTCAGCTAATTAGCAACTGTAATTCCATCTGCATCCTTACTGCCCCTTTACCACTTAACATGACATAGTCACAGGCGCCAGGGATTAGGACGTTGCTACAGTGAGGTGGGAGGGTGGCATTATTCTGCCAGTTGCAAGGGATGATAACAGCTTTTTTCCATGAGAATCAGAGGAAAATAAGATGAATCACATCACAGTGCACCTGGCATGGAGTAACCTCCAGATAGACGTGAATGAGTCCTGCCAGTCTTTTTATTGTTAGAACCTGGATGATTTCTCATGGAGGGAGAAGAAAATCTGCAGGAGCATGATTTCAGGGCCTCAGTTTCTTCATCTGGGAAATGGGAACATCTCACTGAGTACATGAGTCATAGTGGGGTTTGAGGGAGATGCTGCCGGACAAGGGTTTAACTTGATGGTCCGGGTGCCTGAGAGGGGTGACTGCTATTTTTCTCCCATTAGTTGGTGATCTTTAGAGAGAACTTCAGCCAAGGTCTTATTCCTCCCATCTCTCTTTCATGCTTTCTTCTGGTGTCATCATGGCCTCTCCACAGGTGACACACTGGTTGTGACCAGGGCTTTGCCTAGAGCTTGTGACAACCTGTGGCTTTGGCAGTCTTGCCTTGATGCAATGTGTACCTGGTCCCCCACTTGCCTGTGGTAAGGAACAGATGTCTCATACAGTTGTGAGTTCCCCAGCCCTTTCCACGTGGCAACTCAACAGTCCAGACTCCATTCTCCCAGCTCAGCACCCCAGGAAATGGAGGGCACCCATGTCCCATGAGCTCCTGCCAAGTCCTGTGTGAGATTCTCTTTGGCTGTGACCACTGTGGCCTGGGTCACTTGTTCCCACCTTCTATCAATTACTGGGGTTGCTGGGGGCCCAAAATGGCTCTAGTTGGCCCAGCTGGGGTTGGATACGAGGAGCTAGACACAGAAAGACAGCCCCAGGCCTCTGCAGGGCCTCAGCGCTGCTGCTGTCTGGCCTCCAATGAAGTGGAGCCCCATCCAGCACTTCCTGATACCACCCGCTGCCCTTCATCCCATGGGCTTCCTTCCTCATGAATCATTGTATGCAGGTGAATCTGGATGGGCTGAGGAGTTAGGCACACTCCTAATTAATATGCCCTTTTGCTGTTAGCTTGGGTGGCAAGTCACCTGCTTTATTCCTCTGAACCTCAGTTTCTTTGTCTGCAAAATGGGCATAATAGCTGATAAGACACCCTCGTCAGGCTGTTGTGAGGGCCGAATGAGCAAATCTACAGCAGTGACTAGTCCAGGGCCTGGCATGTAGCAGGTGCTGAAAATGGGCACCTCTCTCCATCTTGTTGTCTTCTCTGACGCCTGGCAGACACCAAAGAGGCAGTTCGGAGCAGTGCTACTGAGCTCCAACCCTGGCCTTGAGCTCAGGCAGACTCAGTCCTACCTCGCCTCCCCAAGCTGCTGCTTTCTGAGCAGTGAACAATGGTCACAGTCCCCACCTGAGATGACGCCTGTAAAGCAACTGGTACTCCAGACCGGTAAGCAGAGGCTGTGCTCGTTTTATCAATAATGATAAACCCCACCCCAGTCAGTAGCTGCTATGATGAGAACTTGGTGTCAAAACAGCTGGGTCCAGTGTTATGCAGTGTCACCTCCCTGGGCTTCAGTTTCCCCACCTGTGAGGGGACAGCTGGGTCCAGTGTTATGCGGTGTCACCTCCCTGGGCTTCAGTTTCCCCACCTGTGAGGGGTGGGTGAGTGACATCCTTTTCCATTACTCCCACTCTCCCCCTCCCCGTGAGCCACAGAGCTGCCATTCAGCCTTTATTGACAGAGACAGTTACTCAGCACTACACTTACAGAGTCGCAGTGTTCGGGGTCTTCATTAACAACAACTTAAACAGCTTATCAGGGGGTCACACAAAGCAGATGAGCAGAGCTGGGGAGACAGGTCGTGCTGAGACTGTGTCTACAGGTGCCAAATGTTCTGCAGACGGCTCTAGAACTAGGACTTAAGCCTTTCAAGACGGGGCTTAATGCCAAAGCTCCCAGGAAGTTGGCCGGCCTGCTGGTGAATCAGAACATTCTGGCTCTAGGGTTCAGGAATTCCCAGACACGAAGTCAACACCCAGTTGATGAAGAGGCGAGGGTGATACACGATGCTGGTGGCAGCCGCTATGATTTTCTCTCAACTTAGCTGAAAGAGACTTTTATACCTTCTCTTCTCCAATTCACTCCCCCATCTCTCCTCCAACCCAACTGTCTGTGGAACTTGCCACTTAGAGAATCAGTAATAGGCAAGGAGAGAAAAAAAAGAAACACAAAAATGGTTACAGGGCAAAGACAGGCAAGCGGGTGCCAATAAGTATTGTGCATTGAAGCGTTGCCAGCCCCCACCTGCCGCAGGGGTCACAGTCTGCCTTCCTCCCTTCAGGGATGTCTGAAATCCCAGTACAAAAAGAGCTCCCCACAATTCCTCTCATCTCCATCCCCGTTTGCTCTTAGAAAGTCCCCCAAACCCAAAGCAATGTCATATCCCTCTTAGGGGCTTGTGGGCAGAGGGTGGAACCATGACTGAAAAGTTAGAAAAATAGGGCGGCGCCTGTGGCTCAAAAGAGTAAGGCGCCAGCCCCATATGCCGGAGGTGGCGGGTTCAAACCCAGCCCCGGCCAAAAACCGCAAAAAAAAAAAGTTAGAAAAGTACCTGGACTCTGATATTAAAAAAATAGGATATTTCATAGTATCCAAAGTGTTGTTCTAAAAAGAAGCCCAAGGTTGCTGAGGGATTAAGGAGCCAGCTAGAGGTGGGATTCGCTGATAATTTAGGGGCTGGGATTGCTGGAACATAGGGAGGGACTGAAGGAGGAGGCTTATTCCAGGGGCCTCAGGCTAGGTTCAGAGAAGTGGGGTGAATGGGCCACAATAAATATAAATACATTTATACATAGTCACAGTGCTGGGCATGGCCCAAGAACTTGCTCTACGAAATTCTACCAGACTACTGGGGTGTGGGGCTAAAGCAAATTCCCATTCCAAGTTCCGCTAATTCTATCCAAGTTCAGATTGTTCAAATGGTTCACTGGCTGGCCTCTCAGCCTTCAACGTGTCTCTCAGAGGCTACGGCAGATATTTCATCCCAGAAGAATAAATTCAAGGGCTCTCCTGCTGGGGTGTTTCCTTGACACATCAATGCATTGCATCCCCCAAAGTAGACTGCCCCATCATCCAAGGTGCCCAGCTGGGAACTAGGCTGGAGACACCTCACTGTCACCATGGCCAGGCCTTGCATCTCAGGTCTCCAAGGAATGTCAGGGAGCCAGGGTATGCTGGGCTGCATGTCCACTCTCCTCTGTCCTTTTGACTTGGGAAGGCCCCAGAAGCTTCAGTGGAAGGTGTGAGAGGGGCGGGGGTGACAAGCAGACTGCACCCCTGGCCAGCCTGCAGCTATGCCAAAGGTTTAGGAGATGCCCATGGGAAAGTGAGGGAGGGTCTTTCTTCTGGGAACACACTGTTTGGGTCAGTTATCCGGGGTGTTCTGGGGCAGGTGAGACCATCAGCTCAAAGCAGGGCTATAGGCTTGTTCCCTGCTGTGCCCAGGTACTGAGAAGAGGAGGTGGTGGCTGATGTGGCCACATTGTCCGGGGTGGAGTATGCAGCGTAGAGACCTGTCACCTGCAAATCTGGGAAGGACTGGTCGCTGCTGCTGGAGACTGGGGTCAGGCCCGAGGCCCCTAGGTCATAGCCCATCGGGGAGTCTCCGAAGGCCCCCAGCGTGTCCAGGCTGAAGCCCTCGTCCTTCATCTCCTCCCACAGGTTCCCTGGCAAAGACAAAAGCATCTAGGTGAGTTGGTTTGATGTCAAGAAAGCCTAAGTTCAAATCCCCATCTTAGGAACAAGGAAGACACCATGTGAGTTGTTTAAGGTCATAGGTGTGGGGGAGTTGGCATGCCAGCCCTGGTCCGCTCCTTTCCCCTGCGTGTCCTTGAGAAAGTCACTTCCACTTCTGAGCCCCAGAAAAAAATAGAGATGACCAGCAAAACCAATTCCTATAGCTGTGGTGAGGGTGACAAGCAAGGTGCCATCATGGGCAATGCCAGGGGGACAAAATAATGTTTCCCCTTTCTCTAGCACATTTAACAGCATGACAAGCCAGGGAAAGAGGCTGGGAAGTTCAAATGTACCCATCGCACAGCTGTAATTGACTCGTCACCTAACCCCCTAACTCGCCCGTTTCCCTGATTACACACAGAACTCCTGGAGGGCAGAGGACATCTAACTGGCTGGCACATAACAGAGACACCCGTGTTAGTGAACAGGTGAATTATGAGCCTTTGATGAAATCTGAAATTCCCTTGTTCATTGGCTCCTTCATTCATTCATTCACATCCCACTTATTGGGCATGACCATGTGGCAGACAGCAGGTCAGTGTGACCTGGCATGTGGTTACCAACTATAAGTTCAGGATTGGACAGACCCAGATGAAATTCCCAGTTCTGCCACTTACTAGCTGGGTGACCATGGGCCAGTGACTTCTCTTTGCCTGAGTTTCCTCATCAGCAGAAAGGGGATGTGAATGGCAGTGACCTTGGAGGACCGTGGCAGGGTGAGTGAGATGGAGGCTATGAAGTGCCTGGTATACAACAAGGGCTCCTTCTCTGTTTGCTGTAATTTGCTATTACAAGTTGAGTATCCCTAATCCAAAAATCTGAAATGCTCCAATGAGCATGACCTTTGAAGCGTCTTGATAGTGGACAGATTCAGATTCTGGAGCATTTTGGATTTCCGGATTAGGGCTGCTCAACCTGTATTGGGGCTGTTGCTGTGGCACTGAGGCTGCGGGGCAAAGCAGATAGCACAGTCCTCCTTGCCTTACTCTCCCCTCCCTGTCCCAGACCCATCACCCTGTTCCTCTGGCCTCACCCTGCAGGGCAAAGTCCATGATGCTGGGGTCCAAGGCATCCACCTCGGTGTTCATGTCGGTGCTGATGTTGACGAAGTCCATGGGGACCCTCCCCACAGCGGGGTGGGCGAGAGGGCTGGGGCTCAGGTCTGGCAGGGCATGCAGTGGCGGTGTCTGGGCCGGTGCTGGAGAGTCTGGAGCAAGGTGTGCCTGGGGCTGCACCTGGTGGTGCAAGGGCACCGACTGCAGGGACAGGGTCATCAGTGGCTGGGGTGGAAGCTGGGAGACAGTCAGGCAGCCATGCGCCACAGCCACTGTGGTGGCGTGAGGCAGCACGGTGGCCTCCGGCTCCCCCATTTTGCCAGGGCGCCGGCAGCTTTCAGGCCGGTCGGAAATCAGCTTGTCCAGCTCCTCTGCAGGCAAGTGGGAGAGGTCACTCAGAACCCACCCTGTAGTCACCAGGCCCCCACCCAGGCCCCTGCCCAGGCCTGGCTTCAAATCCCTTAGCAAGCCTCTTGGACTCTCTGAACCTCAGTCTCTTCATTGGGCATCATATATTCTACACAGCATTTTTGTGGGGATACAACAGAATCACAAATTGTGCAGGGTCTTTGAGGAGTAAGAATCTCCATCAGAGAATCACCCTAGCCCCTCTCATTTGGACAGTGTTTTGCAGGACAGCCCTGCAACCTTAGAATTTCCCCTGAACCTTCTAATAGCCCTCAAACAGGGAGAGATTGCAAATCTCAGGAGAGCAGGACAAAATTCATTTACATGCAAAGGCCCCTAGCCACTCCCTGCTACTAAAGAGTCATCCAGAAGTGTTGCTGTGGGTTAAAAATCTTTAATGCTCTTGGATATAAACAAGTAAAGACTCATTAATTTTGGTCGTTGGTTGTGTCTCATGGAATGTAGCACAATGTTGAGTCCAGACTCGGGGGTGGGGGAGTCTCAAGATCTACTCGGATTGCACCCATTTTAGAAATGAGGACACTTAGAATCTGGAAGGAGACAAGACCTGCCCAAGCTCTTACCCTGCATATGTGTCAGCACTGGCTCTCGGTGTCAAACCAGACCCCAGAGCTCTCAGTAGGGTGGGTGCCATGTGATACCCCCTCCCCCACAGGATACTGGTTCCTGCTATAGCTCTTCCCCCCACCTGACAGAACTGTTCCCTGAGCCACACTCTTCATCTCCAGCGTGATGACATCCACAGAGCCAGGCCAAATATTCCTAAGGCTGGGGCAGGACTAGAAGTACGAACTACTCCCCAGGTCATAGTTCCCAGTTATATGTCCCTTAATCAGAGATGGCCCCCTCCTCACGTCCTTTAATTAAAGAAAAATGCAGATGCAATCTTTTTATCTAATTGTAAAAGTAATCCATGAACAAAAGTTTTGGAAAATAGAGAAATATGTGAAAAATTTTAAATGATAGGTGGCTCCTCCATTCAGAGTAAAGATTCACAATAAAGATTTTGGTGTAATTCCTCTCAGACACGCACAGGATCAATTCTCTTTCTTTCTCTGTGTGTGTATTTTTTTTTCCTGAGGTGGTATCTCACTTTTTGATCCCTCTCCAAGTGCAGTGGCACAATCACAGCTCACTGTAGCCCCAAACTCCTGGGTTCAAGCGATCCTTCTGGCTCAGCCTCCTGAGTAGCTGGGACCACAGGTACGTGCCACTGTACCCAGTTAATTTTTAAAATTTTTTAGAGATAGGGTCTTGCTCTGTTGCCCAGGCTGATCTTGAATTTCTAGTCTAAAGTGATTCTCTCCTCTCAGCATCCCCCAAAGCTAGGATTACAAGGCATGAGTCACTGTACCTGGTCCATACTGTATATTGAGTCATATCTGTTTCAAAAACATTTTAAAATAGTTTTCATCTCTCATATTTGGCTAGTATGCCATTCTATTTATTTAACCAACCCCCTATTTGGGGGATGTTTAGACTGATTTCTGCTTTTCACTCTTCAGAATACTATGTCATGGATAATTTTGTTCCTATCTCTTTTGTTCAAATCTTTGATTTCCTCAGCATAAACTATCAGAAGCAGGATAATCAGATCAGCACATGGGTAGTTTGCAGGGTGCATTCCTACCCATTGTATAAGAAGGAATCTATTTCTCCACATCCATGCGCACACTGAGTGTTACCATTTTATTATTTTAAACATCTCTGCCACTGTGGAAGGAAAGCAACAGTATCCCCTGGTTGTGTAGTTTGGCCCTTCTGTGCAAGTTAGTAGGGATGACTGGTGAGATAGAACAGTTTTTCATATTTATGATCAGGTGCCCCAGTTTACCAACCACTAGATTCAGGGGAGGCATATTCTACAGGAGAGCGGGAAGACCAACAGGCACCTGTCTTCCCATCAGCATAGCTGTGACCAGGCAGAACTGAGGCTGGGTTGGGGGGTGGTATGCATGTGTGCACATGTAGTGGGAGATGTCTGGGCCTCACCAGGGTTGGCCATGCTCCGGTGGATGGCAGCCAGGTCCTTTCTCTTCCACTTGTGCATTTCCTCCTCCATCTTATCGATACGGGCCAAGTTCAGGGCCCACAGGCAGCCCTTGCGTGAGGAGCCGCTCACCTTGTTTTCCACCTTCTCAAAGCATTTGTTCAGGGACAGGTTGTGGCGTACCGAGTTCTTCCAGCCATCAGGAGCCGTCTACAAAGAGACGTGCACTTGGGATCCTTTCAGATCCCTTCCTAGAATACCATTCCTCTCCTAGGAGGTCTCTAACTCAGGCCTATCAGGGCAGGCTGCAACAGTGGCAGGGGAAACATGAACAGCGTCTGACACTCAGAATCAAGTTGGAGAGCTGGGAGACAGTGGTAGGGACTGGGGCCAACTGGGGAACCCCCTGCCCTGCGGACCGGGGAGCTGCAAATCAGTGCCCACCAAGTGCTACTACATAAGAATGCGGCCCAGGGCCACTTGGGAAGCAAGCAAGCGAGAATGATACTAATAAATGGATATAGCTGGTCAAATGCATTAAATGAGAATCATTTTTAAATCGTCAGAACCCTTGAGCTTGGTATCATCTGACTTCCCACTTCTCTTTTTGCTTTGATGCTAACAAGAATAACTAATGACCAACTGTATGCCCGCAGCTGCCAGGCTCTTTACATCCTTTCTGCGCGGATACTCGCAACCTTTGCCAGCTGCGTACGACTCTCCCTACCTTACAGATGAGGATACTGAGGCCCAGAGAGGTGAAGGCAGGTCTGGGTTTTGCATCATTATGTTTTACTGAATCTGTGCTGAATAACTAGGATGGTCTCTCTACTCATTGCCCTTCCAGATGACTAGTGAACTTCTCTTTATCCGTCAGAGCCCATTTCAAAAGCCCCCTTCTCCCATTGAGTGCACATATCCTTATACCAGATATACAAACTTAACTGGGGATCTAAGAGGCTGGCCTTAGAGTCTGGCCGCACTGGGGAGAGGCCAGGGCAGCTCTGGCACCCTCATTCTGGTTTATTCCTCACCTTGAAGTAGGGGAAGTGTTCCTTCATGAAGCTGTAGATCTCACTCACAGGTAGGCTGCCTGTCTTGCTGTTCTTCAGGGCCATGGCGATCAGACAGCTGGGGGCAGAAGGTGGGGCAGGCCAGATGTGACGTGGTCTCAGGCTGACAACCCAAGGTCCCTTCTGCAGGAAGCCTGCTCTGCTTCCCTCCACTAGTATTGGCCCAGCGTGAGCTCTCGATGGCCCAGTCTAGCCCCTGGACTTCTCCTTGACTGTAGGCTCAGTCATTGGTAATGATTTGATACATCTTATCTTTTTGTCTCCTTATCCCACCCCCGTAATTAGTGGCTATGGGCCTTTAGGCTTTATCTAGGTCACTTCCCCCCTCCTTGAGGAAATTGAGGCTCAGAAAGGCCAGGCCGCTTCCCCAAGGCCACACAGCTTATGAGTGATGAAGTAGGGTACAGAGCTCAGTGTCAGAAATAGGTTCTCAACCCAGGGAGGGGGCTGATCAGCCACAGCATAAAGCTTCCTGAGAACAAGTTCCACTTAGGAGTTCCCCACTCCCAGCCCTTCCCCTTGGAAGTCTGGGCCACCACACCTAGCTGAAGGCAGCCTCATTCTTCTGCTCCCCAAGCCCTCTGCAGCCCTGACCCAGCAGCCCTGACCTGACACCCCCTGGACCTCACCTGTATGAGTAGATGGGCTTTGGATAGTGTTTGGGGTGCAGCTCCTGCGATGAATGCACAGCCATGTGGGACTGGGGATAGGGAGGCCGAACCCCAAATGGGGAGCCATAGAGGCCCACAGAAGGGCACTTCCCACAGGTGGGGCGGGGAAAGGGTGGTAGAGAGAGAAAAGGTAAGAAAGAGCCTAAGTCACTGGCGATCACCCCTCCACCCACCCCAGTGTCAAAAAGCACCATGTGGGGATTGACAATTCAGGAAACAGTCTTGTCTCCACCTATGCAAGAGACTAGGGGGAACTAAATGAATGACCCCATGACACAGGCATGGTGGGGAATATTATCACTATGTTCTGGGTGAGTAAACCAAGTCTCAGAGAGGTACCCGGTCAGCCTAAGACAGGGTGTCTGCCTCTGAGACCAGAGCTCCTCTGAGCCCCCGGTACCTGCTGGGCGCCTGTGGGGAGCGGGAACTGTGGTTGGGTGGCAGGCGAGTATAGCTGTGGTGGCTCCTGCAGGCCGGCTGAGGGCTGGGCTCCCCCAGGGAAGTGGCTCATCAGCTGGGGCCAGGAGAGGAGGAGACAGGGGGTCAGGGTGGATGTGGGGCACTCCAGTCTTGGAGGGCACCACCCTCACTCCCCAACCCACATGGTGGCACTTACCCTGGCTCCATGGTTGGTTAAGGGGCCCAGGCCCAGCATGCCTCGGGGGGCCATGACAGCTGGGCCATGGAGAAGGGGGCCTGGGGAGGCTCCCACATGCAGGTCAGCCACCCCAGCCAAGGTGCCTGGAGGAGGGAAGCACAGAGATGCTACTGGGCTGGAGGACAGGGACAGCCCTGTCCCTGGGTATCTCCAGAGGACATAGTTATCTCCCACTCTCAGATCAGGCTCATAGCAGGTGCTAAGCAAATCAATTACCAGGGGTATAGAAGTAAAAAGTGGGGTTTCTACCAGCTGTGTAACCTTGGGTCACCTTCACTTTCCCCATTTGTACTTGGGCTATGGCTATCACCGATCTAAAATGTGTTATGAGAGTCAAATGAGATAACGCCTATCAAGTGCCTAGCATTCTGCTGGGGGCATGATAATATTTCACTAAAGATGCGTCAATAGTAAATAATAATGATGATGATGATGATGGTTCCTGTCCTTTGTGAAGGACACCAATTGTTCAAGTTTTTTCCTCAAAAACATGCCCTGGGGCTCAGCGCCCATAGCACAATGGTTAGAGCTCCGGCCACGTGCACTGAGGCTGGCAGGTTTGAACCTGGCCCAGGCCAGCTAAACAACAGTGACAACTCCAACAAAAAATAGCCAGGCATTGTGGTGGGCACCTGTGGTCCCAGCTACTTGGGAGGCTGAGGCAAGACAATAACTTAAGCCCAAGAGTGAGGTTGCTGTGAGTTGTGATGCTATAGCACTCTACCATGGACGACAGCTTGAGACTCTCTCTCAAAATAAAAAAAAAGCCATGGCTCCCAAGTACCTTCTAGGTTTAGGTCTAAATGCCTTTGTGCCACCTCCCCTATCTCCCAAGGATTAGCTTGGGAATCACAGATGTACGTTCCCTCCTCCTCTCCCCATATCTTGGGCTGGGTCTGAGACAGAAATTGCTAATCCAACATGAATTCTGATGGTATCAGCCTGGTTTTAGGCAGCCACCTCCAATCAAGGGAAATTGACCTGCAAGATGACCCTGTCCTCAGGCTGCCTCTTTTAGGAAGCTTTCTGCGTCCTTAGCAACCCCTTGAGTTCTGGCTGCCCCCTGGGCTTGTCCTTTGTGCCTCTGTCTGGTTTTGTTGTCCTTATGTCTCAGACCAGAGCATCAGCCCCCTGAGAATTAGGACCACATTTTTTAAATTAAAAAAAATTGTTTTTTGAGACAGAGTCTTGTTTTGTCACCCTCAGTAAAGTGCCATAGCATCATAGCTCACAGCAACCTCAAACTCTTGAGCTCAAGCGATTCTCTTGCCTCAGCCTCCGGAGTGGCTGGGACTGCAGGCTTCTGCCAGCTATTTGTAGAGATAAGGTCTCACTCTGGCTCAGGCTGGTCTTGGGACCACATTTTATATAACTCATTCCTCCAAAGGCCTAGTGTAGTGACAGGCACACAGAAAATGCCCAGCAGACACAGAGGAGAAGGAAGAAGTTTCATTATTTTATCATTTATTAAACGCCTACTGTGCTCAAGGTGCTTTGTGCATTGAATCTTCACAATCCTCCAAGTGGATGGTCCTGCTAGGTTTTCACTGAAGATGAGGAAACATTGAGAGGGTGAAATGCTTGCCCAAAGTCACATGCCTGTCCCCTGGAGGTTCTACACTAAGGGCTGGCAAACTAACCAGTAGGCCAAATCTGGCCCTCAGTCTGTTTTTGTAAATAAAGTTTTATTGACTCAGAATCACATCTATTCACTTACATATTATCTATCGCTGCTTTTGCACTATGATAGAAAAGTTGGACAGTTTTGAAAGAAAATTGTTTAGCTTCTGAGAAAATATTGACTACCTGTCCCTTTACAGAGAAAGTTTGCAACTCCCAAAACAATTTGCCCAATGAAAGAAATAATCCTAGATAATGATTTTTCTATGATTGATACTTTTAATATATGGCAATAATTATTTTTGCCATTGGTTTTGTTTTTCTTCAGTACTTTCTGTGTCTGTAAGCATATAATCTAGTTACTATGATTGCAGCTAGTTGGCATTTATTGAGCACTACTGTGTGTCAGACCCTAGACTCAGCCCTTTCCATACATTACCTCTTAAAATCTTCTAAATCAGGAAATGCAAATTTCTTTTGTAAAGGGCCAGATAGCAAATATTTTAGGCTTTACTAATCATATGGTCTCTCTCCCTCTCCCCCCCTTTTATTACAGCCCTTAAAAAATGTAAAACCCAATTCCAACACAAAGTCTGTACAAAAATGGGCAACAGGCTGCATTTGGCCCATGGGCCATAGTTTACCAACTGTCCTAGATGTTCAAGATGAACCAGGGTAGCAGCAGGGCGGTCTTTGAAACTTTAGCTCACCCAAGGCCTGGTACCCACTGTTTTTTGTTTTTTGTTTTTTGAGACAGAGCCTCAGGCTACCCCCGTGGGTAGAGTGCTATGGCATCACAGCTCACAGCAACCTCCAACTCCTGGGCTCAAGTGAGTCTCCTGACTCATCCTCCCAAGTAGTTGGGACCACAGGTGCCCGCCACAACTCCTGGCTATTTTTTGGTTGCAGCCATCATTATTGTTTTGGCGGGCCGGGCTGGATTTGAACCTGCCACCTTAGGTGTACGTGGCTGGCGCCATAGCCACTTGAGCCACAGGCACCGAGCCGTACCCAGTGTCAAGTAAATGATGAACCACATCCTCTGAGGAAGGTATAATTTGTCCCATTTTACAGATGCAGAAATAGAGGCCCAGAGAAATGGAGTGACCTGGCCATGGCCACATAGCAGGTGAGAGGCAAGGTTGGGAGTTGCCCCTTTCTTACACCACCCTTCCGTCATCCCCATTTTGCCCCAAGCCTACCTGGGTGTGGATGTGGTGCACAGGGGCCACCCAGGTCTACACGGCCACTTGCCATCTGCTGCAGTCGAGGCACGTCCACAGCTGTGAGCCAAGACAGCGACTGCAGGTCCCCAGGGAGATCATCATCGCCAGTGGTAGCTAGAAGCCTGCAGAGAAGAGCAGGGAGCTTGGGCCAGATGGGGAGCTTAGGCCAGTTCCTGGGGGGCTTCCAGACCTCTGGGAGCACGTCTGTAGCCCCTCATCTCCTCAAGCCGCCCCAGCCCTTTGACCTGCCCATCCCTGGGGTTGGGCATGGGAACCTGATCCCAGGATCCCCCTTTGGCAGCCAGACGGCACATCCTCAAGTCATCTTAACACATCTTCCCCCAGCACCTACCACAAAAAGAACACACACTAATGTTTAGTGAGCACTTATGTGCCAGGCACCAGTCATTATTCCTATTTCATGGGTGGAGAAACTGAGGCACAGCAGGAGCTCACCTGGGACACCCGGGCATAGAGCAGTCAGGGCCTATGGTCAGGGTCCTAACTGCAGGGGAGAATCAGCTGTGACTCCCTGTATAGGGTGGATTCCTACTGTGCTATAGCTTTGTGCATGACACGGAGCTTGGGGACAGTGCCCGTGGATGGGCAGGCCACATACGGAGACAGTGGAGTGACCACTACCCACCAGGTCTGTGCCTTAGTCCACATAGGCACGGTTCCCACTCAATCCCCGACGCAGCCCTGAGATGTGGGATATGCCCACACTCTCCTTGTACAGATGGGGAAACTGAGGCACTTGCCCAAGGCCACACAAAACAGGAATGGTGGGGCTGGGACGTAGGCAGTGTGGCCTGCAGTATGCCACAATGTAAGGCACTCCCCAAAGGCCCAAGTTAAGGGGCCGAGCCTATGGCTCAAAGGAGTAGGGCACCGGCCCCATATGCCAGAGGTGGCAGGTTCAAACCCAGACCTGGACAAAAACTGCAAAAAAAAAAAAAAAGGCCCAAGTTAAGACTTACATTCACCACCCCCAACAGACTCATGAGCAGAGACAGCACTTTTCATAGAAGGAAAATGGCTGCCCATGGAAGGTACTAGACAGGTACCCTGATTTGGGATAACCGGCACTCCCCAGTGCTCCTGAAGTCCTGAGTGGGAGGTGGCTCCAAGAGTGCTGAGCCATGTGGTGCCGCCTGGCCTAGGGGCCGGCTCCTTAGCAGCCAGCACCGTAGACCCAGCTTTCTGTTTTGTTGACAAGAGTCCCTCAGTCTAAAAACCAAGTTCTGAGTTTTAAAGATAGGTGTTTCTGGGCCCAGTAGAGAGGGGGACAGAGAAAGAGAAAGCCACCAAGTCCAGCCTCTGTCTTTCTTGTGTATCGATTGACAGAGGACCCAGCGTGGGCCACAGGCCTCTACTCTCCTTTGCACCTGCTTGGCTGCCTGGAGCTGGCATTCTTGTTCTTTCTCTCTCCTTCTCTCCCTCCTCCTCCCCATCCATTCTCTCTTCCCTTGTCTTTTAGGGCCACAATTAGCGTTGCTATGGTCACAGCGGTTCAGTTGTCACAGGGCCTGGGCCCTCAGTGTGGAGTTGGCATCAGGTGACTGCCGGCTGCCCTCGCGATTGGCTGCCTCATAGGAAAACAGGGCCAGGAAACGATTTGAAAACTCAGCTCGCCCGTGTCAGTGGCAGCAGTTGGCCCGGCTGCTGTCCCCGGCAGCCCATTGTGTGACAAACGACTGTTGCCCCTGTGGCACGTGGACCCCATTGTCCTGGGGTCTCGATGCAATTGTTTCTGTGGCCCCCCGGCTGCCGCCCCTTCAGCCCGCTCATAACTCATCTGGCCAAGTGACAGCCACGGTCCAGGCCTGGGCGATGCCATCTGTCCCTTCAGGCCCTCAGAGACCATGGAGGTGCAAAAGCAGGCTGGTGCACTCGCTGCTGTTAGGGCTGCTGGCCACCCACCACCCTCCCCTCCTTACCCTGTGGCCAGCTGACTTCATGGCACCTGTCATACTCCTGCTCAGTAACCTGCTGTAGCTCCCATTGCCCTCTTGCTCTGCTTGACACTGGGGTAACAGGGAGAAGTGGAGGTGAGCAACTGTTAGCAAGTTTCTAAAGATGGGTCCCCCAAGTCTCCTGATAGTGGAGGATCAGGGCTTGCAAACAAACCAAACTCCTAGGCATCAACATGGAGCAGAATCTCTGGCAGCGAGTGAACTAGACAAGCAATACCTGCAGTGGTTAAGAGCTTGGGCTCTGGATCCTAATCATGATTTCCATTCACCTGTGTGCCCTTGGGCCACTGGTTTAACCCCTGTGAGCCTCAGTTTTTCATCTGTAAAATGCGGATGATTTTCATTCTTACCTCATAGGGTGTTATGAGAATTAAATATGTTATTGTATGAAAAGTACTTATAACAGTGACCGGCTCATAGTAAATATGATATGTTAGCCTTAGCTGCTATTAATATTATTAGCCAGGCCCCCCCACAGATCTGGAGTACACTGACACTTTGGGCTCTGGGGTTACATAGACTCCTGTCCCTGCTGCTGCAACCACTCACCATTTCTTCCATTTATTGAGCACTTCCTGTGAACCAGACCCATTTGACAGATGAAGAAACTGAGATCCTGAACAGTCATGTCAACACTCTGAGCTGCTTCCCCACAGAGTGAGGTCTGCAGGAGATAATACATATATAAAGGGCTTAGCATATGGCTGAGTCCATGGTACTATCCTCGTTCTTTTTTTTCCTTGCTATCCACACACCCTGTCTGGCTCCCTGCTCCATCCCACTCTTCCTCCCAATGGGGGACAGCCATCTACTGTAGCTACGTGATATCTATCATGTCCCTAGCATCTGTCTCACCTCCACACCTTTGCATCTGCCTTACCCATGCAAGGAACACCCTTTTGCTTTCCTCCCCCCATCCAAAACATGCTTGTCCCCTCAGACATCACCTGACTCCTCAACTGGGAAACATGATCTGGGGGACCACTATGCTCCCAGTCCCACAGTCTGCAGAAGGACTGGAGCTGGGCTCCCTCTACTCCAAGAGCAACACCTCCTCTGGGAAGCCTCTGCCACTCTGACCTCAAGTTCAGGGACCCCCGCCCCCGTGAGCTGCCTGCTGCCTACACGCTGCCAAGGCCAGCGAGGCCTGCCCTGTCTGGGTCTCTTCCCTTACCCTTTCTTTGGTCTCATGGAGCCTTGGCCTGGGGTACTGTATCACCTGTGTCCCACACACAGCAGATGCCCTTTAAGTGTCTGTTTGATGGGTTGACCCCAGGCCACCAGCCCCAAGAGTAGTGTAATAGTCTTAGTCAGATCCTGTACTTTTAGAACTCACAGAGCTGTTCCTCTATCTCCTTGGGTCCTTGTGATCGCGCCTAAGAGGGGAACAGGGAGTAGGCAGCCCCACTTTACAGATGGAGAAGCTGAGATCAAACTAGTGAAGGCAAAATCCCTTTGCATGCAAGTGAGGCAACCAGGATTCGAACCCAGGTCTGTCTGCTCCAACCTGGGTTGTTCCTGTGGCATGACAGGTGGAGAAGCAGACGTCTCCTGGGGTACAGGCCCTACCCTGAGCCCCGGGGCTCTCGCCAGAACTGTACAAATGAGCATCTGAGCATCTCCCAGGGAGCTGGTAGAATGCAGACCTGGGGCCTGGCCCTGGAGTCCTAGCCTTGGGACTTTCCAGCTATGCTCTGGGGGAAGGACAGCCCAGACGAGATGTGGCCAGGCCTCAGGCAAAGCTCAGGCTTTGACTGGGTGGATCTAGGTTCAAGTCCTTATAACCCCGAGCTGTATGATCTTGGCCAAGTCACCTTAGGTCCCTAAGCCTTTGTTCTCTGGCTGTTGGAGGATCAGATGAGCCAGGAGATGCTCAACTGCTAGCAAGACTGTGGAGGCGTGCAGCTCATTCTGGGGGTCAGTGGCCAGGGCCCTGCTACCACATTGCTATCCCAGAGGTAGCCTGGTCCTCCCTCTGCCCAGTGCCAGAATGTCTGCCTCAGGGTGCCTTACAGGCAGGCCCAGCCAGCCCTGCTGGACTCCTATAGTGGACATAGGCACCAAGGAGCACTGTGATGGGAGTCCACTGGCTCCTACGGTCTCTCCGACATTCAGGCACATCTTCACTGCACACAGCAGGGACCGGGATGTCATGTGCCAGGGCCTCGGTGAGACAGCCTTATCCCCACAGCCCACCATGGGTCTTTAACAATCTGTGCCCTGTAGAGAGGCCATCAGCATGCCCCCCACCTTCCCTTCACCCATGCCTAATGGTCCCTCACTAAAGACACCCATGCACCCAGCCTCCCTCTCTCCCAATGCTGAATCTGAGATGGAGGAACTTATCGGGTCACAGTGGCTGTAACACAGTAGAGAACCCTAGATTCAGGAAAGCTGGCTTTCCAGCCATAGGCTCTTGGAAGGGCACTTAATCCACAGCCTCAGTTTTCCCACTTGTAAAAAGGGCACGCGTGACAATAATACCCTATCCCCAGCACTGGCCTGCTGGTGTAAAGGTGATGTGGCTTTGTGATACACCCTGCCATCTTGGAGGGTTTGGGACTATCCCCTGGGATGTGTATGTGAGAGACAGAGACTGAGACCCAGACCCTACATCAGTGTGTGTGTTTCTCCTCCACTGGAAAATGACAGATATATTCAATTCAAAGAAAAAAGCAAACCCCAGCCCCATTGCCCTGGGCTCACCCAAGGCAATGCCTACTCTCTCTGGGTCTGTTCTCTTCCATTTCTCTTCCCCTCCTGGGTCACCTATGTCACTGATATCTGCCTGCCTGAAGTCATGCCCAGAGGCCATGAGAAGACGCAAACTCCAAAGACCCAAATCCCTCCACTTACTACCTCCACACCCCACCCCCGACCCCTGTCCTGTCTCAACTCCTCTCCTTGGGTCTCTATCTCTTTCTCTCTGAGTCTGTAGCTATGGCCCTGTGATGAAGTCCTGGCCACATTTCCTGTTGGTGACATCACATGTGCTTTGAACTTTCCCAAGCCTCAGTTTCCTTATCTACAAAATTGGGGGAACAACGCTAGAGGCAAAGCCCCTACAAGAGCTCTTAGTACACACCCATCCTCTCCTCACCCCTCCTCTGACATGGTGCCCAGGGAACCCCCGTCTCCTGCAGACC